TCCTTCCACCCCAAGAGTGCTGCCCCTTCGCAGTGCTTTGCTCCAGGAACATTTTTTTTGCAAAGAGAATAACTAAAGGATTTCCCCCTGGAGGGGGTGGGTAGACAGGGGCTCCTGGCTGCTGCTCAGTGGATTCTCCAACGTGAATTCAATCAAGACCTGGAAACTAGCAGCGGAAAAAAAGTCACAGGACTGAGGCAGACTTAGATTTTGTAGAAAAGGCCAGACACAATTCTTTGTCAGGAATTTTGTCTGGAAAGCCCATCTAAGGCATCTAAGCCCTCCCTTCTTTTTTGGCTGCTGGTAGGTCCTGGAATTTGCTGGTTCTGAAGCCTTAAGCCATTTAAGGGCATGCTGGTTGGAACCAGAGAGCAAACTCTCCTCAAGTCACGCTGTCAGTGCCTCATTCATCTGCAGCTCCTGTTCCTGCTGTCTTCCAGGCAAGGGCGCCAGGGAGCAGACACAGTACTGCAAAAACACGCCTGGTTTCTGCCCTCGTGGGGCTTTCCTGTCACTAGGGAGATTGACACCGCACAAAATCTAGAAAAATACAGCGGACAGTGGAACTGGGGAGGGCTGCAAAGGACGGGTATTAGGAGCTTCTGAGAGCAAGTAAGAGAATCCTGATCAGGGGAGACAGGCGGGTGTCCCTGAAAGAGGGAGAGTTAGGGGTGAGCAGGTGGGAGGCAGGTGGGGAGGAAGAAGCGGGTACGTGAGGATGGGCAGCACTGGACCCTGGAAAGGGAGAATGGTCCAAGACAGCTGTGGCTGCAGGGTGATCAGCAGTGACCCAGACATGCCTCGCAGGCTGTGCTGACATGAGACTTTTCCTGATAGTAGTGGAAGCTAATGAAAGGAGTGGGGTTTTGGGGTTGTTTGGGGAGAGCTTGTCAGAATGCGATTGGGGTGACGCTCTGGGAGCTGTTACTGCTGTCCGGACCCTGAGGGTGGAGGAAGCAGAGGGGAGACAAGAGGGGAGACAGTGAGCTGGTCTGTTTGGGATCAAGAATGGCCAGGGACCAGAGACCCATAGATAAAACCCAAGTTTCTCGCAGTGCTGTGGTGCCCAGCCTTCCCCCGTGAGCCCGTAGCCATAGCAGGTAGATGTCTGTAGAGAGGGAACCCTTAACCACAGGGACCCATGCTTGAGGAAGCAGAATGACTGCTGGCAGTGCCAGTGGGAGGGAAGTGGATGTGAATCAGCCCTGTGTCCCCGGGTTCCCCATCCAGACTCAACAAGCATGGGTCACAAATATTGAAAAAAAAATTGCATCTGTACTCAACATGTACAGACTTTATTCTTGTCATTATTGCCTAACAGTATAGCATAGCAACTATTTACTTAGCATTTATATTGTAATAAGTATTACAGGTAATCTAGGGATGATTTAAAGTATATGGTGGAGGCTGGGCAAGGGACAGTTGTCCCAACTGGCCCAACATTTTGGGCACACGTGGTTAAGGCAGCAGGATCACTTTAGCCCAGAGGCCAAGGCCAGCTTGGGAAATATAACAAGAATTTGTTTCCCAAAATAAATAAAGTATATGGGAGGTTGTGTGTAGATTTCATGCAGACTGGCCATTTTATGCAAGGAAATTGGACAACCAAAGATTTGGTGTCCTTGGGAGCTTAGAACCACTTCCCCAGGAACATCAAGGGATGACCATATTATATCAGTACCAGTACAGCTTGGAATTTAAGGACCTCAACAATTACTGTATTTTAAAGTTACTACTTCCAACTGGGACATGAAATAATTTCTTCCACAGTTTTTTTTTAATAAATATAATTATATGTTGTATTACCAAATTTAAGAAATGATCTTTGTGTTTTTAGGTTATGATATATCCTAAATGGAATTGCTCTCACTATAACCATAATTAGAGCAATCTTTACAAGATTATACTTATCTCAGAATGTTACAAGTTGAAAGTCCTTTAATTATAACATAACACATATTTAAAATAACTGCTACAATCATAGAATAATTTAAACTTTGAACACATGCGCTTTGTTTTTCTAAAAATTTTTTAGAAGTCTAATATTAATTACAAGTATATGGGTGCCTTATAATTTGTGAAAGGAAGTAAAGATACAAATTTTGCAATTTCTCATAACTGTAGTCTGTTATTTTTAAAAAATTGCTTCTGTAATCAAAGCATTTCCGAGCAGAGTTGGCCAGACATTATGGACTTTAAAATCTGTTTCTCCAGGTCCTTCCATGCCTCTCCACCAAAGTCAAGCAAGCACATTCTGACCTGGGTCTGCAGCCCTTCATGTCTGGATATTAGAAGAGCATAAACGAGGTTAAGAGAGGCCTGGGGGCGTAGCTGTAGGTAGAGCATTTACCTAGCATGCACGAAGCCAGGGTTCCATCAGTGGCACCACACACAGCGCACAAGGAGACCAACACTTTAGGGGCTGCGACTGTGGCTCAGTGGTAGAGCGCTTGCCTAGCATGCGTGAGGCACTAGGTTCGATCCTCAGCACCACATAAAAATGAATAAATAATATAAAGGTATTGTGTCCATCTACAACTAAAAATAAATAGATAAATTAAAAGAGGGCCTCAAGACCAGCACTATCTAAGCCGTGGATTGGCCAGGCAGTTTTCACAGGTGCTCAGAGAGTTCCTGAGCTTTGCCACTAGCAGGCTTGTATGTGGACTCAATTGCATAAGCCAGCTCTTGAAAACAGAAGAGAAAATCCAAGTTTCTCTCAGTGCTGTGGTGCCCAGCCTTCCTCCGTGAGCCCGTAGCCACAGCAGGTAGATGTCTGTGAGAGGGAGCCCTTGACCCCTGGCAAACCCCCAGAGAGGATGGGAGATGAGAGGATGGGTTTTCTATCCACTGAAAACATGAAACCAGTGGCTCAGGTGGCCAGGTTAATGTCGAGGAATGGCACCCCTGCATCCTTGAAGAAGAGGTTAAAGAAACACTAGAGGATTAGCCTGAGAGTAGAGGGTGAGTGGACAGCCTTGGAAATAGGATGGAACTTTTTTTTTGTTTTGACCTGGGATTGAATCTGGGGGCCACTGAGCCACATCCCCAGCCCTTTTCAAGTTTTATCCGAGACAGGTTCTCGTTAAATTGTTTAGGGCCTCGCTAAGTTGCTGAAGCTGGCTTTGAAATTGTGATCCTCCAGCCTCAGCCCCCGGAGCCTCTGGGATTACAGGTGTGAGCCACCACACCTGTCTGTAATGAAACTTCTTAAGCAGCAAATCTCCTTTTCTTTTTCTTTCTTTTTTTTTTTTTTTTTTCCTAATGCAGGGATTGAACCCAGGGGTTCACACATGCTAGGTAAGACTCCTACTGAGCTACATCACCTACCCCTTCCAAATTTATTATATAATGTAATTTGGATAAAGTCCCTCTGTGGTCTTAGATACTGTATATTGTACACATCCTGTATTCGTATGCCCTTGAACTCATGAATTATATATACACTTATACCGTTGTGCACACTGTATTTATTGGCCATTTAAGACTTTTTAAAGGGTAATCTTTAACTACATACATTTTCCTATTACGTGCTAACTTAAAATTCATTCCCTGCATGAGAAGTGACTCTTCGTACTAAAATATGACTTTTCCTATGGAAACTTAGAAAATGTCCCAACTGCCTCTGGCTCCAAATTAAGCTTTCTCCTCAGTGCATGAGAGAAATGTTTTCCTACACCCAGGATAGTTTCCCCAAACCTTGTATTTTTTCTTTCAGAAAAAATCAGTACATTCTCTTTAATGTTTTCTGTGTTGTTCTTAAGGGGTAGATGGCAGCTGGTCTGGCTGCTTCCTACAGGGCGCTGGAGCTGGTTCACTGGGCTGCAGGCAGTGGGCAGAGAATGGGCTTCACCTAGGGGCTCAGCTGTGGGCCCTGTCTGGGCTCTGCACCTTTCCCCCTGAGTCCCACGACTTCTCTAGGGTTTGACCTCCACAGAAACGTAAGCAGGATGGTTTGGATGAGCTTTAAGTCCTCTTAGAGGGCTGACGTTCTGTGTTTAAAACTGTCATTGAGCACTTGCTGTATACTCACACAGCATTGTCCAGGGAGCACTTCAGGGAAAGGCCAAAATCCTGCCTTGAAGGACTTCGGGAATTCTCTGGGTCGGAGGCCCTTGTGTGGGCAGCCCAGGGGGAAGCTCAAGGGCTGTCCTCTAATGTGCCACCTTGTCCCCACCTGCAGATCAGACTGCAATAGCTGCTCCCTAGACAGTTCCTGTTTGCCCATGGTTATCTTCTAGTGCAGCAAACTTCTGCAGAAGGCCACGTGTTGTTCTTGGTCTTAAGTCACAGTCTGTTTCAACAATCCACTCTACTGTGGTTGCCAGAGCAGGTATACATACGGCATGTAAATGAGCGGATGCTCTGTGTTCCTGGTAAAACTTCATTTACACAGTTTGCTGTTCAGGTTCTGAAGTTGTTTAAAATGTTAACTCCCATCTGATACTCTAGAAGTGGTTGCCTCTGCCTAACCAGGGTCTTTGGACATGGCCAGATAAGAAAAGATCATGGCCAGGCTCAGGGCCCCCGAGCCGGGAGAGCAGATGCTTACCAGCTTCGATTTCAGGGGCAGAAGCTTCTGCCCAACAAAAGCTCTTTGATTGACTGTTGACCCAGCAAAGCCAGCATGTGCCCATTTTGGGGAGATAGCTGCAGGCCCTCGCCATGTTCATCCATCTCTAGCCTCTTCAGGATGTTCCCAAAGGAAGGAAGCCTGAGTCCCAGGCTTTTGTTGGCAGAAGGCTCTGTGGGGTTCTCCAGGCAGGAAGGCAGGCCATGAAGAGGCGCACCAGGAGAATAAAACAACAGGAGTTGGGAATTGGAAATGAACGGTCCTAGAAAAACAGCCGCCTTAAATCTTCTAGGGTACAAATAATTTTTTTTTTTAAAGTTCTGGAAAACAGTGGTTTGGACTCCAGCAAGGACCCCAGGGAGGAGGGGTAATTTCTGCAGGATCGGTGTCTCAGCAAGCCACGCCTGGGCATTTGTTTTGTTTGCAGGGAGAGGTGACATCCAGCCTCAGTTGGACAGCGCCCTCCAAGATGTCAACGATAAATATCTCTTGTTGGAGGAAACAGAAAAGCAGGCAGTTCGCAAGGCTTTGATTGAAGAACGCGGCCGATTCTGCACTTTCATCTCTATGCTACGGCCAGTAATTGTAAGTTGATGGAAAGCTCTGGAAGGCTTGAGCTGCCAGTGTGCAGAGGGCTTCCATCTTATTTATGTATCCACCATGGGGACGTTGAGAACCTGCTGCATGTCAGGAAGTCACATGGTGGTAGAGTCATATCTGTGGTCCAGTGATTCTCTGCAGGTGCTGAGGGCTACGTGGCCACTCCTTGACCACAGTTCTTACCTCCAGATTTTCCACTGCCCTTTTTCACCGCTACGTCAAGTAGGCCTAGCAGAGTGGTTCTCAAAGTGGAGTCCCTAGGCCAGCAGCATCATATGGGAACTGGTTAGAAGTGGAAATTCTTGGGCCAACCTAGATCCACTGAATTCAAAACTCGGGAGATGGGGACCCAGCCATCTGTGTTAAACAGGCCTGCCAGGTGACTTTTGAGACCCGCTGGCCAAGCCAGATATCTAGGAGTAACCATGAGATTGATACAATAACCATCAGGCTTCCTATCTAAGGAGTCATTCACAAACCATAACTGAGAACCTTGGGAGCTGGCATCCTCGAAGCCAGGAGGGAGGGCACAGCTGGCCTCCCTCAGCCCTTGCCAGGCGCCTGGTTTGAGTCATTCCCCTGAGAGTAGATGCTTTCCTTGGCTCTTTTTCACTGGGGCCCCTGGGCCCAGCTGGGCACTTTGGGAAAGTTAAGGGAAGATTCCCATCTCTCGGTTCCTGCCACTTGCTATATACTAAGATGGTGGGGAAAAAAACAAGAAAGGGGGATGGTTAACCTCAGTTGAAGTTGTGTTGTCACAAAGGTCTAGGCCCAGATAGCCCCAGATCACGTCAGTCATTGAAGCCAAGCAGCGTAAGCTAGTGGACGGGGCTGTGCCGAGGATCCTGTGGGGACACGCAGGCCGTGTCCCGAGCACCGCCAGGAGGCCTTGTATTCACGCCGCACTGTCCCCAGCACATAGGTTGCTCCGTGTGAGGGCAGATTCCTTTTTCCTTTCTCTTTCCCAAAAGAAAGGGTTTATAATGCCTTGCTCAGTGATCTCCCAGTCCCATGGTACCATTCCTGAAAGACCTGAGGGTTTTAATGTGACCTTAAAAAAAGCAGTTTGAAAAAGACAATGAAGTGACCCACTCATGGTCATAATGGGGTGTGAATTCTTTTCCTTCAGGAAGAAGAAATCTCCATGCTGGGGGAAATTACCCACCTCCAGACCATCTCGGAAGATCTGAAGAGCCTGACCATGGACCCTCACAAACTGCCCTCCTCCAGTGAACAGGTAGGAGCCATGGTCAAGGCACCCAGGGGGACAAGGCCTGAGGGGAAAGTTCTAGGCTCTGAGTGTCCTTTGTGGCATTTATCACATCTTAAATTGTATCCGTATTCACCACATCCCTGGCATTATCATCATGGTAACCATCATAGCCAGGTCCTATGCTGCACCTGAGCTGTGTGTAGGACACTGGTCTGGGCTCTTTGCATGGACTCCTCAGCTCACCGTCACTGTTATGTGCATTTGAGGAAGAAGGACACTGAGACAGTGACAGTTAGTCAGTGGTGGAGCTGGGATTCGAACTGAGAGGTCCAGTACCAGAGCCTGTGTGGCCACCTACCCTCTGGGAGTCAGCTCTCATCAGAACGTGACAGTGGTGGGATGTGGCTGTCAGGGCTCACTGTCCTCCAGTTCTACCACTCCAGGTAATGCTTGGGATCTCTCTGGTCTTAGGAAAAGAGGACGTTATTTCTGCTTCATTCATTTGGTGCATGCAACATTAGCCCTGTATCAAGTGGGAAGAGATGTATCAGGGGGAGCAATGGATGACTCGCTTACCAACTTTAGCCCTTTGTATACAATTCTTATCGCCTCCTCAGAGGGTCAACTCAGAGATAAATTTGGAGGTTTGTGTTTTCTGTCCTCCGAGGTGGCTCACCAGGCCACAGCCTGCTTTCTTTCATGAGTAGACATTTGTGGAGCAGCCCTCATGGGAATGAGAGCTGGACCTCACACTTGAATGGCACTTCGTCAGGCAGGGGAGACACAGATATAATTGTGGAGGAATTGTGGCTGACTCTCGATGCTGTCAGGTTTTAAAGTTTCAAATCCTGGTCAAATAGGGCACGAGTGACCACTGAGTATCGAGTGGTTAGAGGGCAAGGTCAACCAGCCTGGAAACCATTGTTGTCTTCAGGGGGCTACAAAGGGAAAATCCTGCTTGTCCTAGCCTGAGGCATAAATAGTGCTTGTACATTGTTCATGGGTCACTGTAATTATCTCTAACTCTCTTTCCACTGATATTTCAGGGTTTTCTTTTTTTCTCCCCATCCCCCATTAATTATAGTGTGGCTTGTCTCAGAAAAGGATTGTGACATTGATGGATAGGTAGTGTGGCTCTTCCATTAAAACAGCTGAACGTTTCCTTTAATTCCCACCCACCGGGCGGGCAGTATTCGGAGGCTGTGGTGGGTGTTGAGACATGATGGATGGTATTTCCCTTCCTGGCACCTTGCTTACCCAGTTGGCTCTGTCCCTTCAGGTGATTTTGGACTTGAAAGGTTCTGACTACAGCTGGTCCTATCAGACGCCACCCTCTTCCCCCAGCACCACCATGTCCAGAAAGTCAAGCGTCTGCAGGTAAGTGAAGCCACCGTCTGCTGTTGCTTTCGGGGACAAGTCATCTTTCTGTATGCTGATAGGAGCCATTTATAGGAAAATCACTGATTTTTAAACAGGAAATGTTACGATGATCAGCTGAAAGAATGGCTGCTGTTGGTCTCACTCTCTGGGCTCTAGATTAATTTTGAATCCGAAAGAAAACCCCATTAACCCTCACACTGGCCGCTGTGGACTGCCCTCCCTCAGCTAGATGTTGTAGGGATTTTCCTATTTATGACACCACTTTTGATTTTGCTGTTTAGCAGAGTGAAAACTAAAAGGGCCAAAGAATGATGAACTGAGGTGGATTCTTACCCAGGCTTATCTCACTCTTGCCAGAGATAATTAAGGATCTAACAGTGGTGTATGCCCTCATGGGACCCCCCAATTTTTATCTCAAGGTTTCATAAAATAAATGGAGTTCTTGCTCTGCCAGCCACCACCAGCATCACTGGTCTGCTAACTGGCGCCATTATGTACTGAGGCAGAATCACTTGGACGCATTCTGCCAGCTATAGGACTCTTTTCTAGCGGTTTTGTCAGGTGGCCATTCTCAGCTTGCTGACTGGGAAAGTCGATTCTCTACTTGAAGGATGGAACCGTCATCAGACATCACTTGTCTTTCTTGGTAGGCTACACCTGCTGCTAATCATTTTATTTGACTTGTCAAAGCCAAATGAAGGTCCACTTCCTGTAAATTAACCTTGAGAGGAAGGAGCATGTGTATGGAAATGTCTCTGTACTTCCTGGTGTGTTTCATTTCACACTGAAGCTTGTACGGTGTACACTTCACAGGTGGTCAGGTCAAGAGGCTACATCCTGACGTTCTGCCCTGAAGATGTTGGCTGGTCTCCTGTCATCTTCCATGGGCTCTGTGTGTGTGTGTGTGTGTGTGTCTGTGTGTGTGTGTGAGAGAGAGAGAGAGAGAGAGAGAGAGATTTGTTTTTTTAGTAGCCAAGGGAATTGTTTCTCATTAGTGTGAAATAAAGTCACATGGTGTCTTTTCTTCCTTATCTTCTTAGTTTGTGTAGAAAGTCAGCTTGCTCACATGCTTGCTGGAGTGGTGTTGCCGTGAGCTTTACTGTCAGTCCCCAAGTGCCCTCTTCTGGTTGGTTGTGGGGAAAGGTGGCTTCATGGTCTTACCCCAGCAGCAGCAGTTCCCCCCAGCAGTCTCCGATGTCTGTCTCAGCCTTCACGCCAACAAATCCTAGGGTAGGACCAGTGCGTGGTCCTCATTAGAGGCCAGCGAGTGTAATACAGAATCTCTTGTGGGTTTGGGAGCAGAAACCACAAACTTCCTAATCCTGGGATGGCTTGTGTACTCATCCTTCAGCTTGGTTAGGGTTCAGCTCTGCTTCTTTGGATCATGGACTGCTCGGCTTTCTGTTGTTCATAACCAGAGTTATCGTACACACAGAGTCCGTGGCCGATTTCTCATGACTGGAAATGGAATGCAGGCAGAACGCCCAGAGGGTGTGTGTCCTTGTTCCACTCTGTGTCCTGTTACCATATCAGAAGCAAACAGCTCAGCATCGATTGCCTTTCATCCCTGAGAGCCGCCTGCCTCTTGCCAGTTGTGCTCTTAACAGAGAAACACCTGGGATCAGGGGAAAGCTCTTAATTGAAGCACCAGCATTGTTAATAAAATATAAACACATGCACACAGACATGCAGCGTCGGCCTGCTGATCAGCACGTTCTAGGTCACCTAGGGTGAGATCACCTTAGGGCGATCATCTTGGTCATCTGCACCTAGACAGTCCATCCAAGGACATTCAGCCTGGTCATGCTAAAGCTTGAGTGGGTGTTGCTCCAGGGTTGTGGATTTTTCAAGGAGGTGAACAGATGAGATTAGCCCCACGTCTTTTCATGCCATGGACATCAGGTCCCCTGGCCTTGGTAGGAGGTGACAGCAGAGTTGGGCACTGTCGCAGGCTTTGATGTATGAATGGAGCATTGTGCTGTCAGAGAACCGAGTCCCGACTCCCCCTTGCTCACCTGAAAACACTTCTTGTTACCAGCTTACTGATTTGGTGCTAAATGGAATGGAAACGTGTGGCAGGTTTGTGCTGCTTCTCCAGGGCAGGAAGCTGATTGTGTTATGGTGGCTGCAGCCTGCCTGCCCTCACTGTCTCTTCCTGTCCTTCCTCTCCCCACTCCCCCACCCCCTCCTTTGCCCTCCATGCTGCCACCCTCTGCTTGCCCCTACAGCAGCCTGAACAGTGTCAACAGCAGCGACTCCCGGTCCAGCGGCTCCCACTCCCACTCCCCCAGCTCGCACTACCGCTACCGCAGCTCCAACCTGGCCCAGCAGGCGCCCGTGAGGCTGTCGAGCGTGTCCTCCCATGACTCAGGATTCATATCCCAGGACGCCTTCCAGTCCAAGTCGCCCTCCCCCATGCCACCAGAGGCCACCAACCAGGTAAGGTGCCCTTGGCCCTAAGTTGGAACCAGCATGCCCTGCACCCGGGCCACTATCGGTGGCTAGAACCAAAGGAAGCCCTTGGCTTGGAGGGAATCCTGTCTGTGGCCTTGTGTTACCTTTGGCTTCGTCCCCATCTTCCGAGGTGTCGGGTGGGAAGCCTGCCTCCTCGGTGGCGGTGGCTCAGTTTCCACACTGATTTGGGGAGCTGTCACTTGTAAGTAGATTGCCTGAAAGACGCTTGGCTGTACTCTGTCATCCCTGAAAGCATCCCCCGACTAGTGGGATGCCGTTATTAATAGGCTCTGTAGTGGGGACACTGCCTACACCCCCTCTCAGGTTCTCCCTGAACGCCTGAGGTCCTGTCAGTGAGTGCAATTCCGACACCCTTCCGTGGCACTCTCAGGCTCCCTCCATGGGTTTGTGTCATGAATGAGGGTGAGGGACAGAGCCCCGCAGAGAGCGTGTCAGCACTTTGATCCCTGGAGAAGGTGGAGAAGGGGAGGCAGGGGGTCTCTTCCTTCATAGTTGGGTCTCGTGGGTCCTGCTACACAAGCTGGGCAAGGCATTGGGTGCCCTTTGTGAGTATCAAGAGAGAGTGTGTGTGTGTGTGTGTGTCTCCCTCACTGCCTCTCCTTCAGTGTCAGTGTGCCATCTCTGGTTGAACACTTGGTAAGCAGCACAGTTTACAGAATGCTAGGAAGCTTGCTGTGCTGCCACCCAGCGTGCCCTGTGGCACCAGGCCCGTGTGTGTGTTGCTCACCTGATGTTGGTGAGGAGCCGCACGGCTCAGACGCCTTAGCATGTTTCAGCATCCTGGGGGACTGTGGCAGCTCTTTCTTCCGTGTGTAAATACTCCGTTTCCTATGGAAGTGCCCAGAGCCAAGGCTGAGGCTCTTGTTTTAATGTGCTTGTCCCTACCAGTGCTAGGGTTGGCCTCAAAGCGTCCCCCAGTCCCATTGCCTGCTTCACTAAACCCCGCCTGGTCCGCTCACAAGCAGCTTCTCAAAGCCTCTTCCAATGTGCAGCATAATCGTGTGTTGTTTGTTTTTAATGGACTAAACATTAACATAGCGCTGAGCACTGACCCCTTTTCTGAAACAGAAAAGACACTTGCTTTGGCCTCCTGTCCAGGACCTCCAGAGGATGGCTGGGCAGTGTTTCCACCTCCAGCAGTGTTGGGGGAGGCCCCAGGTGGCAAGTTGGGACTTTCTGGTGGTTTTCATAAGCTCAGCGATGCTGTCAGATTTAATAGAGAATGCTGTTTTTCCAAAGAAGCATTGCAGCTGCTTTTAATTATCAGGTATGATATTTAGGATATTGAACCAATCACACTGGCCAGAGGGTACAGCCCGTAGGAAAGGCTGTCACATCACATTTAGTTAGGGTGGGAGGTGGGGGACAAGCATGTATAGGGAGCAGGACCCCCACCTCTCTGCTCAGCACAGGTCCACAGGAAGGCCACATAATAAAACTTGCTCAGAATTCTCCTGCTTCCTCCCCCTGCTCTTTTCACCTTGTGCCCTGCCCAATGGGCCCAGGACGGGGCCACCCTAGAGCTGTTTGCTCCAGGGAGAGAGGTTCTTCAGAAAAAAAATGAGCATTAGTCCAAAGAGATCTGAATCCTAGGTGGGTTACTGTTCCTCTTGGATGAGAGGAACCATAATAAATAGTCCTGGTAAATTATCATGATACCCAATGTCTATTTAGTTTTGATTAAGCTGAATCCATAGTCTTATTTATCTTTATCTGTTAGATACTGTTGATCTTCATCTAAAGGTGAAAAAAAAATAAGGTTTAGAGATCTTTGAAGTCCATAATTCCTCAAATGGAAAGTGGTAGAAAACACTTAAATCTGAACCCTCCAACTCAGAATCCTGGGCTGCTAACCTCGGGGCGCAGCTAGGGCGTCTATCCATGGTGCGGCCTCTGCTGGCTCCAGAGTCTCTTCCGTTGTTGAATGTCTTCCTGGTTCCTTGTCCTTGCAGGAGGGGAAAGCCAAACCTTAGTTCCTTCACAGGAACCTTTCTTTCTTTTGTGGTTGACAAGGACAGAAGCAGAAGTCTAGCCTCCTTGACAGTTGGGACAGGAAAGTCTCTGGGAAAATCAGTATAGAAGGGTGGTGGGGAGGCCAGCTGGTGCAGGTACAAATGGAAAACTTAAGCAAGACCCCAGAGGGTCAAGACAAGTTCCCAGGGACCAGTTCACATAGAGCAGGTGGTCGCTGTTGCTCGACCACTCAGTGTCCAGGACTCGAGACTCAGGGGTGTAGTGGTGAACTAACACGCACATCACCAATGCAGCACAACACCAGGAAGCCACGCTGGCAGTGTGGGAGGCTTTGGTGCAGATTGGCATCCACCTCTCCAGCGGCTTCATCTTGTCCTATAGTGGCCACTGGAAACTTTGCACTGACCACCAATGGACTGCACTGTCCCAAATCCCAGAATCTCCTTCTAGACAGAGACAACTCAATATGGATTCATAGCCTGAGGCCAGAGCTGCATTTGGTGAAGGAAGAGTCCAGGAATTCAAGCCAGTCTAGGTAGACATGTAGCAAATACCCAAACCAGCGTCAGCCTCATACAATAAATAATGGCTGTGCACAGGTCAGGTGGGGCCCCAGGAAGTGGGGCATGTGGCACGTGAACAGATGCTCCACACAGCACAGCGTTGTGGGAGACCTTGACCAGCCCTAACCGAATGCTCTGAGCCAGGCACGCACACAAATCTGTCTTCAGACCCCCATGGTTAGCACGTCTAGAGCTTGCTGGGTCTCGTGCTTCTTTTCAAGGCTTAAAACCTTTAGGGAAAAAAATAACCGTAACCCTCTGCTTCTCTCATCCTTCCTTCCTCTGTGTATGTGTCCGTCTCTCTCTGTGCGTGCCCTTCCCCGCCCCCTTTTCTTTCTTATTATTTTTGGTGGCGTGTGGTTCGGTTTGTTGGTCCCCTCGTGTGGTCCCTCTCCTGCTGCAGAACTCGTCCAGCTCGGCCTCTTCTGAAGCTTCCGAAACCTGCCAGTCAGTGAGCGAGTGCAGCTCCCCCACCTCAGTCAGCTCAGGCTCCACCATGGGCGCCTGGGCATCCACAGAGAAGGTGACCAGCGGGTCGCAGCCACAGCAGCCACTCTCCCTGCCCCTTCCCTGCCTGCCTCTTGGCCATCAGAGCCCTAGCCACTTGGAAATGCAGACTCTGCATCAGCAGCGGGCCCCTCTTGGGAACACAGGGTGGGACCAGGCTGAGGGCTTTTTCTTGAAGGAGTGCCTGGCTGCTGAGCAGTGACCAGGTCATATGGTCTACCTGAGGGAGAGGAAGGGCCATGGGGAATTTGGAGGTGTGAAGGCTCCTTCCTAAAACAGGTGTTGTGTGCTCATCTACTCTCCCCTGTCCCTTCCCAAGCACCCACAAAACTGTTGGTTGTGACATTTCACTGTCGAGGCTGTGTGCTTTGCTGCCTTTTAGTTTGCAACCCCCCACTCTCACCCTTGATTTGGAATCTGCTCCTGAACAGTGTGATGATTTTGGAAACCTAAAATGAACACATTCATTTGAAGATGCTTCACAATTTTTTAATTTGCATAATGAGATGAGAAAAAAATCTCTGTCACCATGAAATTATATTTTGTTAAATAATAAAAAAAAAAAAGCTGCAAATTAAGGACACTGATCAATTTTCAATCTACTCTGAAATGCAGGTCAAATGTTACCTTGACTGAATACCAATTTTGTGTCAAGACAGTGCGTTTTTTGCACCCTGGCTCTTTTCTCTCACATCACGGATCATCCACGAGAAGCAGAGCCCCAATGTTTGTTTTATTTGTAAATATTCAGGTTCCCCCTCTCCCCCAAATGTCGATGCCATCTGTGTCTCCACACTCATCCTGTTATATTAATTTTTTTCCTTTTCTTTCCCCCTTTTTGTTTGTTTCCAGTTGTCTAACGGGTTTTCTCACTATAGTTTACCAAGTGAGTCCCATGTGGGGCCCGTGGGTGCAGGCCCTTTCCCTCACTGCCTGCCTGCCTCCCGCCTGCTCCCTCGGGTCACCTCTGTCCACCTTCCAGACTACGCTCATTATTACACCATTGGGCCCGGCATGTTCCCGTCATCTCAGATCCCTAGCTGGAAGGTTTGTGTCTCTCCTCTGCCCTCCTCCCCGCCCCCCTCCTCCCATTGCCTCTGTGCTCACCCTCTTCTGTTCACCATCCTCCCACTCTCCCCTCCCCCTCCTTTCACACTCTGCCTTCTTCCCCAGTAGGCCTCTCCCTCAGTAGCTTCCCACTGGGGGAGAGCCAAAAAGCAGCTGGCAGCTCCAAGCAGCAGTTTCCAGGTAGAGCAGAGCCTGGGAATTCTGCCTTTAGGGTGCCTTAGTCAACCCCTGGCAGGCAGGAGCCCACTGTGCACAGCTGGGGGCACCAGTGCCAAAATAAAAGGCACAGCTGTGCCTCAGGATGAGGTTTGCTGGTTGGTTCCCTCCTGGGGGCTGCCTGTGGGCATCACTTTTATCAGAGAGCCTACACTGCCCTCCTTGGCCTTGTACCCCAGCCTTTTCCCCTAATGAGCATCTGCTGGGCCATGGTAACAGAACCATAGCCCAAAATGTTTTGGATCATCGTGTTTTATATTAAAGTACACAAAGACTTTATCTTTAGTTTACAGGGTATTAAAACATGTTTGATTTAACGTGCAGACCAGGTTTCCAGTTAGCTCCTACCAAGTGCAGCTGATGCTCCAGGAGGATATTCTGGCTTTATTTGAAAAGTTGGCCCCTGGCTGCCAGCATCTTGAGCAACTAAGACTTCCTCTCTCATCGGCTGTGTGGATTCCTCAGACTCCTCAAACCTTTTTCCTGACCCTGGGAGCCCTCCCTTCCTGTCTGAGGCCTTTAGACTTGCCCACGGAGGCCATTTTCCCAGAGAGAAAGGTTCTGGCCATTGAGAGTGGCTGACATTGCTCTAGTGCCCCCTGGTGGCCACTCCACTAACGTGGCATCTTTCTGGTTGCTCAAGGACAGATGGTTCCTTCCGATAAAAGATCCCTGGTCTCCAGGGATGGCTCTCCCCTGGCTGGAGAGGCACTTAGCTGGTGCCTTAGCATATGCTGGCCACTTGTTAGGTGGCTGTTAACTAAGAGTCTCGCTGCCTGCCTGGTTATTGAGGGGTTTTAATCTTTTGGAAGAGTTGAGGAAAAGGGAGGTACCAGGGGTCCCCCAAAAGGCATTTCACTCCCTGCTTTTCAGAGCTGGGTGGGGGCATGCAGAGGGGCTGCAGGTTTGTCCAAGCCAGAGCTTCCCACTGAGAAGCCTTCTGTGGGCAACTGTGATAGGGGGGCTGAGCCCTGCACCCGGGATGGGACCTGGCTCCTGACCACACTTGTTCTGCTTAGGACTGGGCTAAGCCAGGGCCCTACGACCAGCCTCTGGTGAACACCTTACAGCGCCGCAGAGAGAAGCGTGAGCCAGACCCCAGCGGGGGTGGACCCCCTCCCTCGGGAGGCCCTCCAGCGGCTGCAGAGGAGGCGCAGAGACCGAGGAGCATGACTGTGTCCGCTGCCACCAGGGTGATGCGCTTGTTCTCTGTAGCTGGTTGGGTCCACTTAGGCCTGTCTGGGGGCCATGTGCTAGCCAGCAATGGGGGTCTAGGCAGTCTTGAAGTTGGAGGAGCTGGGCTTCATTCCCCAAGACCCTACAGTGTAGCAATCCCATGAGGAAAAGCCTTGTGTGGGAAACAGACATGTGGAATTTTCTAGAGTATGGATAGGACCCAAGTAAGTCAGGACCCTGGCTACAGATGCGTGGTACTCAGAGGAGCAGAACAAGAGTGACAGGGAGGCCTGGGCACACCACGCCCTGATAGCTTGTCTCTCTTCCACCCTGCAGCCTGGTGAAGAGATGGAGGCTTGTGAGGAGCTGGCCCTTGCACTGTCGCGGGGCTTGCAGCTGGACACGCAGAGGAGCAGTCGAGACTCGCTGCAGTGCTCCAGTGGCTACAGTACCCAGACGACCACCCCATGCTGCTCTGAGGACACCATCCCCTCCCAAGGTATAAGGTAGCCGGGTTTGCAGTTGGGTTTTCTGAGACAGTGGGCAGAAACCAGGCCCTCCATTCTGGTCTTGGCATGACCCTGGCTAACAGATGGGCCTCAGATTGTTTTCATCATCCAGGAGTGCTCCGGAAAGTTCTTCTGTACTTGTCACACAAGAAGTGACCTGTTAACAACTCTTCTCAGTTTTCATCATCAGGGTACATGGAGACTCCCAACCTGAACTAAGACACATTCTATTAACAGCAGCTTCATTTTTGGTTTGGCACTTGACACTGAGGGCTTGATACTTATTTTCCCATTTAATATTCACAACCACTCATGGGATATTTTTATCCCCTTTTACAGATGTGGAAGCTGAGGCTCAGCAGCTTGTCCAAATTCACAATTCAAGTAGCAGAACTTGAGTTTAACCTGAAGTGTGTTACAGCCTAACACCAAAACTCAACCTATTCCAGCCAAATCCTCTGTCCACCCTGCCTTCCTCATCCCCATCCTGCCATGCACACAAAGCAGGCAACAATTTGCCGCATTCTCCACAAACCATCAAAGCCTCTTAAGACTGTCTCAGTGGAGGGAGATTTTGTTCCACAAGAGACATGTGGCCTGGACACGTTTGGAGACATTTTTGGTTTTAAGAGTTAGAGGGTGGGCTGGGGATATGGCTCAAGTAGTAGCATGCTCACCTGGCTTGCATGAGGCACTGGGTTTGATCCTCAACACCACATAAAAATAAAATAAAGATATTGTGTGTATCCACCTAAAGCTAAAAAATAAATAAATTAAAAAAAAAAAAAAGAGTTGGAGAGGGGTTACTGGCATTTGCTGAATACAGGCCAGGGATACAGCTAAACATTCTATCATAGACAGCACAAGCCCCCCTGAAGAATGACCTGTCCCTAAATGTCAACAGTACTGCTGTTCAGAAACACTACTGTTAGATGTTTAATCTGTAAGCTTTCCCTTCCTGCCTCACCCTGAGACGGGCATTATCCCATTTCTTGAGAGGAAATGAGCTCAAGGATGGAACCCATTTCTGTGCCTTGTTTTCAGGAACTCATTGCCAGTAGCTCTGTTCTTTTCCTAGCGTTCACCTAACTAAACCTCAGGGTGGTGTTAAGACTACTTTGAGTCTTATTTCTTATATTGAATTCCAGACCAGAGGATCTGTAGAATTTATCTTCTTTTGTCCACCTTATTCTTCCCAGAGATGCTTGGGAAGTTGTTTTGCTGCAACCAGGTCCCTTTACCTTCTTCCCCCATTAAACAGTATCTATGTGGCTGCCTAGTCCTGCTCTGGGTGTCCAGGGTACATCAGTGCAAGAACAGAAGGCCCTGCCACAGAACCCTCAGCAAGGCTGAGGATCCTTCAGACTCTTGGGGAGGGCAGGGTGAAGGGTGTCACCCTGCCTCGTGTGCCTTTTTTCCTCCAGCACAGAAGAATGGAAAGCAAAGCTGCTGCCTTGAATGTGTCTAATTAAATCCTATAATCAGTTTCAGATTATGATTATTTCTCCGTAAGTGGTGACCAGGAGGCAGATCAGCAGGAGTTTGATAAGTCCTCCACCATCCCTAGAAACAGTGACATCAGCCAGTCCTACCGGCGGATGTTCCAAGCCAAGCGCCCAGCCTCAACTGCCGGCCTCCCTACCACCCTTGGACCTGCTATGGTCACTCCAGGGGTTGCAACTATCCGACGGACCCCTTCCACCAAGCCTTCTGTCCGCCGGGGAACCATTGGAGCTGGTCCCATCCCCATCAAGACACCAGTGATCCCCGTCAAGACCCCAACTGTCCCAGACCTCCCTGGGGTGTTGCCAGCCCCTCCAGATGGTCCCGAGGAACGGGGTGAGCACAGTCCTGAGTCTCCATCTGTGGGTGAGGGCCCCCAGGGTGTCACCAGCATGCCCTCTTCCATGTGGAGCGGCCAAGCGTCTGTCAACCCTCCACTTCCAGGCCCAAAGCCCAGTATCCCTGAGGAGCACAGACAGGCGATTCCAGAAAGCGAGGCTGAAGATCAGGAAAGGGATCCCCCAAGTGCCACTGTCTCCCCAGGCCAGATTGCAGAGAGTGACCCTGCAGACCTCAGCCCAAGAGATACTCCGCAAGGAGAAGACATGCTAAACGCCATCCGCAGGGGTGTAAAGCTGAAGAAGACTACGACCAACGATCGTTCAGCCCCTCGCTTCTCTTAGGCTCTAAGCTCCCAGGAAATGCTGCCAGTGGGGAATGACTCTTTAATTAATAAGACCTAATTTGTCTCGATCCATTCCAACCTATAATCAAACAAAAAATTTTGTAGGCAACTCAGAATTCAGCTCTTTTGAAAGTACTCAACATCTTTAGATAATAATTAAAAGCAACATGTAACTGACATAATCTTGATCTTTTAATTTGTAAATACTGACGATTTTCTTTCTGCACATTTTAATCTTAGTTTCCCTTTTGATTTTTCTGAAGGTGCCAAATTCCATTTAACTTTTTTACAAGTCTTTGTAAAATTTTAAATGCATAGGGGGTAGGGTGGGGTGGGGCGGGATGGGGCAAGGGAACCACAAAGTAGTTAATTTCAGAAAAAGATTACTAAGTTCTTTCTTCTTCTTCTTTCCCTTCCACAAGCTTTTGTAGATGCATTGTAGTAGTCTAGCTTAGAAACAAATTTGTTATTTTAATGTATAAACAAAACGGATAAGGGGTAAAATCCTCATTTAAATATACTATGTCTGGTTGAGAAAAGCAGGAATAACAATTGATGAGCAATATTCAGAGTGAAGTAAATCTGGAAGAGGTAGACTGTGTTGAGACTGGGGGGAGGGCCGTGGGAGGGGCACACTGTCAACATAGCCAATCCTGTTACATTTTAAGAGTAGCCTTGTAGGTTGAATTTCTAGTAGCTTCATGGTCAATGCATCCGAATAAGCCATACTGGATTGCAGTGTTTGTTTCTGTAGGGTGTTTAAGGACTTCCTTTCTTCCACTGCACACAGCACCCGCCTCCAATCCCGCGCATGCTGCTGCCACTGGGTAGACATAGAACTCCTCCCACCCCCACTTTAGTTTCTTGTCTATTGTACTCACTTCATGGAATCCAAATACATCCAAAAGGGTAAGGCAGTTTAAAAATGTGAAAACATTTAAAAATGATAGCAGGGAATTCTTAGATATAGCAAATGCCTTTTACTTAACTGTGCCCAGCAGGCTGGGTACATTGAAAAGCCCAAATATTTTGAAAAAACTCAAGCAGATTTAACAAGCGTAACCAGCTCGGAGTCTAGCAATTTGCCAATGTGTTTACCAATCTGGGGGCTTGTTTTTCTTATTTTCCTTAAATAAATCGCAATTAATTGGCTTCATACTAAACGTTGAAGAAAGGAAGATTGATTTATTGTCACTGGGAGTGTGACCACTATACTGTTCCTTTTTTGTGTTCCGGACAATGTTTTTTGGAATGGATTCGTGTCTTTTTTTTTTTTTTTTCAAGTGGAAGTTAAATTTGTTATAATGCCCATCCCTCAAAGTCAACAGAGACTAGATTTAAAGGGATCACATTTGGAAAAGGCACTGTTTTAAAGAAACCAAGTCCCTTAGTGGTGGGCTAGTTAAAACAGTGCATACTTGTGACTGTACCTCTCAAGGAAGAGGAGTTGGTAGGTCCCCAGATGCCCTGCAGATTTCTGTTGGCTCTAATCTTCAATTACACAATCTTATGCTTTAATACATAAACCACGTTGGATGTGAGGGTGATATACCTGTACAGTCATTGTTCTATATATTAACATTTAACACTGCTGTGATTGCTCAAGGACATTTTATGTTATGGCTTTAAAGCAAAGGCATGATTATTAGAAACTATTTAAGCTTTTTTCTTTGAAAAACAAGCTCCTTTTACAGACTATAAGCAACAGTAGTGCCTGTGGTTTAGCCCACCAATCTTGATGACTAAAAGTAGCTGATGCATTGTGCATATGATGCTTGAGATGGTTTTTGCAAAAGCAGAAATCGCTGCAAGGTAATTACAATAGTTAAAAGTGGTATTTTAAACCTTCGAAATAAATGGATGTAACTGTACTTTGGTACAGCTTTTCACTTGTTTAGTTTTTAAACGTTAGTATAATCTGAATAAATTTAATATAAAATGTTGCCAAATTCAATGTAGAAAGAATGTGACAAAACACCTTGGATAGTTCTGTTTGTGTTTTTGCATATTGTAAAAGCAGTGTCACAGCTAAAAATAAAAAGATCCTTTCTAAAGGTAAATTATTGTGGTTTAGTTGCTAGTTTGTACTGAGAGTTGACCTCTCCCTGTGCAGTTTTTTGTTCTGAACTTGTATAAATAACAGTTGTGTAACGTGTCTCCCTTCTACATTGTAACAGTTGCTTCAGCCTACATTATAAATAAAGAACCATTAGAGAAAAAAAAAAAAAAGCCCTGTATTTCAAGTCTTATTAAAATTCAGTTTGAGGTCTTAGTCAAATGTTAGAATATGGACTGAGACTCAAATTGAGCTTACTTAGCAAACTGAAAAAAATATTATTTCTGTAATGGTTATGAGCCCTAAGAAGAGAGTTGCTTAAACTAATTATTTCAAAACAGTTCCACTAATTCTAAGTTACCCCAAACTAAACCAGTTTGGGTTGACCTTTTTAAAGCTCTTTTTAAAAAACCCCTCTTGAAACAAGTTCTACTATACTCTTACCTTTGGATGTGTAAACAGTCCAAGCCACAGTGGAGGGAACACAGCTAGACAACAGCCTCCAAGTGTCACCAAGTTTCATCCCAGACTGGGCTCGATACCCCAACCATCAAACCTCCACTTCTGCAGGGACACTATAAACTCCATTTCTGTTTGTTGACTGTCCTTTATAGGGAGAGTTGTCCTTTTCATAAAAACTAAATCCCATTAGTGGAATCCTTAAAAAATAGAATATTTTTAAGTCCTCAGTATTTCTTTCAGCTTTGTATATTCCTTCTAATTACTACAGCTAATTAAAGCCTTCAACTCAGCCCTCAAAGTAAAATTGTTATCTGGTTATGCTGCAAAGTTTCCCCTGAACAATAACGTGCTAGCAATATGACTTATTACAGCTGGGTGCGGTGGCACACACCTATATTCCCAGCCACTTGGGAGGCTGAGGCAAGAAGACTGCAACTTTGTGGCCAGCCTCAGCAACCTGGTGAGACCTCGTCTTAAAATTAAAAGGGCTGGGGAATATAGCTTTGGTTCAGCATCCATGGGTTCAATCCCCAATACTGAAAAAACAATAAAAGATTAGACATCTGACTAATTTTCTTCACATGGAATAAATAATAAGAAAGACATGGCAGTCACTTGGCATCATAGTACTCTTCAGACAGAACACCTCAGTCATACCAAACCATATTTAGTTATTTTTATTAGGGCAAGTGTATTTATGTTCTGTAACTTATTTCACTTGCAAGCATGAATAATGAGGTGCCTGTGTCTCTCTTCTCTCTCTACATGGGCCGCTCCCGGGGTCTGGTCACAATGTGCCACCATAATGGGGGCAGATCACCTGCCTTCCTGGCAGGAGGCAAAGCTTCAGTTTTAGGACCATCAGGTGGGGTTTCCTCCTGCAGCTGCTTAACCTAGAAGGCAAGGAAGGAACAATTACTAAGGAATATGACTAATGTTAAGACTCACCTGCTGCTGTGAAGTGACAGCTTTCTTTCTGTAGTGTGCCCCATTACACAGTCTGAGCCTCACCACTGAGGAGTTTTTTGTATGTACCTGCACGGATCCCATAACCACACTTTTACTTGGACAGAAAAGCTTTTCTCCTTAGTCTTCCTAATCTTAAAGCAGTGAGTTGTGAACAAACTCTCCTACCTCTCTTAACTCCTTAAGCCAAATATGACAATACCTTCCAATTCCTCTTGTTAAGGTTCCCCATGGGTACACGCAGAACACATGGATTCCTGTGTCTCAGCTAAGTGCTTTCCAAAAGCACCATTAAGAAACTTCAGGTTGGGCTGGGGATATAGCTTAATTGGTAGAGTGCTTACCTCGCATGCACAAGGCCCTGGGTTCAATCCCCAGCACCACACACAAAAAAGAAAGAAACCCCAATTGGTATATATTAGAGATGTTAATTGTAAAGACCCCTGGGTAGCATCCAGAACAAGAAGTAACATGAAATCACACATAAAAATGGGCTCAGTTCTGCCTGATGTTGCCCAAATACCCCAGTTCAAGTAATCTCCAAAATCACTAATAGAAGAGGAAACCCAGGAGCCAAAGCTCCTTCCAAATGTCTGCAGGAGAAGAGGTCATTGGTGATCAACTGCAGAATGAGCCTGTTGCTCAACATGAAGAAACGTACTTCAAGCTTCTAAATGTTGGAACATTTCATTCCTTTTCTTTTTTTGGTAGTGGGGACTGAATTCAGGGGCACTTGTTTACTGAGCTGCATCCCCAGTTCTTTTTATTTTCTATTTCTAAGTTGTTGAGGCTTACCTCAAACCTGTGGTCCTCTTGCTCAGCCTCCTGAGTCACTAGGATTACAGGTCTGTCACTGTGCCTGACATATTGCAACTTTTCTTACAAAACATGGTACCCCTTGGCCACAGTGACCTTTCTTCCACTCCACCTTGGCCAAGGACTCTTAAGGGTTAATATCCTGGGGACCTTACCCAGAAGCCGCACAACTTCCAAAATCAAGATTCAGAATTATCCAATGACTACCTGTCCTTCTAGCTGACTTGCTTAAATGTCTCATTGGACATAAAACTCAAAGGGATTAACAATTCACAGATTCTCCCTTCCAATTTGACCTCTCTCTGCATCAACCACCTCTTTCTGCAACCAGCTTAGATTCCATCATGATATACCTTCTCTTTTTTTTTTACAACTCCTTATTAACTCTGGATAATGGAGAAACACATTATCCACACTTAAGACAGTTTAGTATTGCTAAAGAGGAAAAAAGAAGTCTGGAATGAACATCAATTATCCCCAGCATCAAAAGGGCCTTTACAATCATCTGGCAATCCTGTTTTTCTCCAGCAAGCTTGTCCTGTCTCCATGACTAGCATACCTTTCCCACATTCTCCATACATACCACACACATTTCCTTTGGCTTTTCTTCTTAACTCACTAAAAAACATAAGCTATTACACATAAGAGTTACTTTCAAAACTTCCAACACTAATGTATTTACATATAGCTTACGTCCAACTATAATGAAGGGAGAATCCCTTTTCCTTTTTTTCTTTCTCTACACTCTATGCTAAGGATCTCCTTCCTTTCTCTGGCTTTGAAAACACAAACTTCTATTTCTATACCAAATCAAAATTGAATGCCTGCTTATTTTTCTAACAGTTATATACCCCCCTCCTCTGTAGTCTTCCCCATCTCCATCGCTGTCACCACCAAACTCTAGATGTTAAAACTTAGAAACCACTCTTGATTCCTCCCTGTTCCCCCTCCATCCTCCAATTCCAATCTTCATATCCCTCTAACAAAAACATCTTAAATATCTGTTTCCTTCCAGAGCCACTGTATCCACTTAATGTGAGTCACCATAACCTTCTGACTGAATTTCTGCAACAACTCCAAAATGGATTCTCTACTTCTCCAATATATTATTCACATTTTACTAAGATTAAGATTTTAAAAATGTAACTCTAGGCTGGGGATGTAGCTCAGTGGTACAGCACTTGCCTAATATGTGTAAGGCCCTGGGCTAAACCTTCAGTTCCATCAAAAAATGAAATAAAATAGAAATAAAAATGTAACCCTCAGTCAGGTGCAGGGGCACACATCTGTAATCCTAGCAACTTGGGAGGATGAGGAAGGAAGAAAGTTCCAGGCCAGCTAGGCAACTTAGGAAGACTCTGTCTCAAAAAAATGTAAAATAAGAAAAAGGGCTGGGGATGTAGCTCAGGGTAAAGTACTCCTGGGTTCAATCCCCAGTACCAAAATAAATAAATAATACAAAAAATGTAAATATGATAATAAGATGACAAAAAATACCTAAGGCTCTAGGGTAGAGGAAAGTTAAGGAACAGCAGGATATAAGATCAGCCAAAGGACTGAGGAGGAGGGGAGAAACAAAATTAAAGAATAGAAAAGCCAAAAAGACTTAGGGAATACCTTTTAACATATTTATCAGATGGTAATGTTAAATAGAAACTCAGGTATATCTGAGAAGCAAGGGGTCAGAGTAACTGTCAGGGCTGGAATCTAGATCTCAACATATAAGAGCAGAACCTGACTGTCCACATATTGACCGAGCTGCACACTGAACTGCAAGTAGACGCACCTCTCGCTCCCAGCTTTCCCTTCGCAGTTTCTTCCACTGCTCTCTCTTGGCAAAGTAATCAGGATACATTGCCTTTTCAGAAGGATGCCAGTGATCTAAGCACCATTCTGGAATCTGCCAGGAAAGGAAATCATGGTGTCATTCCACAGGATTCATTGACAAGGTACTGACAGAGCTTGCTCAGGAGACAAGACAAAAATCAAGGTGCATTTTTATAACCACTGCCACTATCAGGCCAGGTCTAACTCTGCACAATGAATAATGGAGGAAAAACTGTGGAGGACAAACTGGGACCTAAGATAGAGGAGAATGCCTTACAGTGAAAGAAAGCAGCTGAAAACTGGTGACAAAGAGAACTGGTATAACTCCTCCATCACTTGCATTTTCTAAATAACCACAGTGGTTTTGTTATTTGGAAGTATTACTTAAGAGTATCTCAGAATATTAAGTACCAGTCCCAATACATTAAGTAAGATCCGCAAATGAACTATTTATCAAATAATTTAGCTTTACTTTGCCAAAAACTATATTGAAAGACCTTAGAGCAGAGTTTAGAAAGAAAAGTCTTAGTGACATCTAGGAGAAAACTGACACCTAAAAAAATTATCTAACAACTGTCTGGAAAGAAATCTCCTAGTGGTATAGAAGACTGAGGTTTGGGACTGAGAAATAAAGACTGCCTCTGCTTCTCAGAAAGCACTCACCACTAACATCCTCACCTACCTTGTAGCACTCATATCTCTCATAGGAGGTGCCCCCAGGAGAGTCAGGGAAGATATATGGCTGTGGGTGCTGACTGTGCCAGAACTCTTCTTCTGCCTCCCTCAACAGCTGGGTGGCCTTCATCATATCCTTTTCATTCCTATGTTCTTCAAACCGGGCTCTCAACAAACAAGCAAAGTACCGGTATTTATCCCTTAAGCAAAATGATTTTAGAGAGTAGAAATGTTATTTACTCAAGTGAGCAGTATAGCACAGTCTGACAGGAGTTATACTCCCACTAACCCCTCCTGGATGAACAGTGTAACTTCCTGGCACCCCACCCCCATTCCTACCAATGGAGCTGCCATATCATGATTGCTTCCTCTGCACCACACCATGATTAGATACTTCTAATATTTTCAGCTGTAGTTCAGCATTACCTGAATTTCTGACGGCTTAACATTCTTCACAAGATTGACAAGTCTCTTATGTATTTATTTACATGTCCACTTCCCCTATTAATCCATGAACTGCTGCAGCTCAAAGAAGGGATTAACTAATATTTATTTGGCATCCAGCATAGAACCTAAGCTGCCAATCATATTAAAAGAAAATTGAATAAGAAAAACTGTGTGTGTGTGGCGGGGAGAGGGGTGCTGGGGTTGTGGCTCTAGCATGTGCCAGGCACTGGGTTCAAGCCTCAGCACCATATAAAAATAAATAAATAAAAGTATTATGTCCAACTACAACTAAATAATAAAAAAACAACTGTCAGTGGGGTGGACAATTGTATGACATTGTACCTGGCCATCATCCTGCCCACCAAAGGAAGTATAAAAAGCAATATGCAATCTGAGCTTCGAGAATACCCACTACAACCCTTCCAGGCCTATGCAGTTTTCATCATCCAGAGGTTTTTCCCAGAAGTTCTTCACTTGGAACTAGGTTTTGGGATTCTGTTAAAAGACCGGAAGCCAAGCATTCACACAAGGCGGGTTGTCACTCCACCTTGCATTGCACTTAGGTCACAAAAATCTATATATTGTAACAGCATTGTTCTCAGATAAAAAGAAGAGGAAAGGCAATTACGTGGGAGGTGAAAAAGATGGGAATGTAACCAGGACTGAAGTTATACAGAAAAAAGATGGTGGGAAGGGTAAGAGAATGATGATGCTTTGGAGTCACGGCTCGACATCGGTAGCTGTTCCGCCTTCAACAAATTACTCCCAGTGCTTCTCTCTGCGCATCTGCACAACAAAGCTAAAATAATCTCCAACTCCTGCGTTGTTTGACGGACTAAAGGAAATGCCATATATACTATTGTTGAAATATTAAGAACCACAAGATCACGAAGAAAGCTTTCCTTAGACTTCATCTTAGTGCAACCCTGTGCGCCGGGTCCTGCGCTGGTTTCACTGAACCGGGCTGAAGCCCCCATCAGAACAGCTCCTCTTCAAAGTCCAGGAGCTCTGGGCGGCGAAGTCGGTAGCAGACCCAGGTCCAAGGGCCGTCTCTGAGGGGCGAGACGTCACCCCCCCGCTCCGTCCCCAAAGTCCTTGAGCGCCTGGTTCCCCGGCGTCCCCCCGCCCCCAGGGTCACGTCCCGAGCCACGAACGCCCCTTTCCCACCTGTGGACACACCACGACTCGAGGTGGCGCAGCGCCCGCTTATAAAGCCGCAACACCTTCTGCTGGTGGGTCAGATAGGCGGTAGGCGCCGAGAACGCCATGACGCCCCGCTCTCCTTCAGCAGCCGCGAGGGCTGCCGGGAACCGGGGCGTCCGCGGCTGAGGGGCGGGACCAGTGACCGGAAGAGCGGACCGGTCTGTGGGCACTTCCGCTTCCGCCGAGGAGGAGCCTGTGGCGCTGTCATGAGTCGCTTCAAGTTCATCGGTAAGGCGAGGCTTCTCCGGTCCTTGTGCTGTTCTGACCCGTTCAGGGCGACTGTCACCGCGACCAGAGGGCCCAGGACCTGCGCACTCCGGCTCTTTGAGAGTCGAAAAGGCCACGCAATGGGAGAGGGTGCGGGGAGGCCTCTGGGTCTTGAAAATGAGTGTTAGGGTCCATGACCCGAGTGCTGGTTTCACGAGTGTGTTTATTTGTGAAAGCTCACAGGCCATACAGCTAGGATTCGTGTCTTTTGAACGCATGTGTCGTATTCAACTTAAAAAGGAGGCAGAGCCGGGTGCCGTGGCGCGCACCTATAATCCCAGCTACTGGGAGGACTGAGGCAGGAGGATCTCGAGGCCAACCTCAGCAACTAAACTAGACCTTGTACCAAAATAAAAAGGGCAGGGGATGTAGCTCAGTAGTAGAGCGCCCCTGGGTTGAATCCCCTGTAGTGTGGATGTGGGGGACGTGGGTCTGGGATTTAGTTCAGGGGAAGCGCCCGGGTACACTGATTCCCTAGCGTGCGCGAGAACCTGGCTTCAATACCCAGCATCACAAAAAAGGAAGGGCGAGGGTAAAAGGAAGAAAACACACTCCCAAAGGCTAATCGCTATATTCCCTTCTGTCCCCCAACCTCGTCCCTCCCGGTCACTGTGACCAAGAGGATTAGGATCTCGAGGAACCCGTCCACGCAGTTATTCATTCATAACACAGTTACTGAGTCTCTCTGGTAGGCTTGACATTGTTCTGGGGACACAGGGCACAAAAACCTGGTCCTGGTGCTGCTAGCACCACCATCTGATGGACAGACTGGGGGCCACAAGTAGTAAGGAGAACCAAATTCTGTTACTTGGGAAGTAAAACCATCCATTAATCACCAGTAGAACGAAAGGGAGAATGCCACAGGGATGGATCCAAAAGGATACGAATCTTTATTTCCAATCACTTAGAAACATCCGAGGGACATTGTAAGAGCTAGAATTGGAAAGGTAACTTGGGATCCAAGAGTCTCAATTAGTTTCACTCTGTTTAGAGTGGAGTTACACTGAGGGGTTTTCATAAAAAACATTCATTGTGTGCTGGTTTTGTGCCAACAATCTTGTGCTCTAGTGTATAGCAGTGTGTAAAGCTGGGCATGATCGTTGTGGAGTTTCCAGCTATTTAAAAGGTGAGTCATATCTCTGCCTTAGTAGGGTAATCCTGATAGCCATTATGCAGATTTAGTAGGGGATAGGAAAATACAGGGAAGCATTTCAGATCTTGAACTAAGGCAAAGGAAAAGAGAAATGGAAGAGATGTGCACAGCATTTAGTAGCTGAGTGTTCAAGGCAGATTATGGACAGTGAACTGTCAAAAATGACTCAGGGTTTGGATAGACACCTAAATATTGAATGGAAGCATGGCTGGTTTGGCAGTAGGTGGAGAAACACCCAAGTCCATTGGGATTAGACCCATTTAAGATTAAGGAGATGCAGGTGGAGATATCATTCAGGCACTCAAGAGAGTGGTTAATGTTATAAACTTAGATCTTAGTTATTTAAGCAGAATGTTTTCCCAAAGACATTTTGTTAAATACTGTGTCATTATAGAAAAAAATCTAGTAGTGCAGTTATCTGATAGGAGATGTAAGACTTATATACAGTCAAAGGAAATCCAAGAGAGAATATTAGTACCATAAAAGATGTTTTAAAAATGTTAAAAGAGAGTCTAGGGTGGGGGCTGAGGAGGTCCTGAAAGGTTGTAAGACATTTTCAATGATGTGATATCTCTGCCTCTCTACCACCATCTGTGATATAATTGATGGGGGAGATGGAATAGAGAACCATGGGACACTCCACAGAGATAGGGACATTTAAAAAAAAAAAAAAGTATGTGTTTGTGGTATAGAGCTAATTCCCTGTCTCAAGTCATGTTTCTTTGAATCCATTCTCCATATAGGCTCCAGAGTGGTCTATCTAAAAACATCAACTAAATTTTTCTCTTGCTTCAGAGGTTTCCATTACTTTTCAGAGGATATCTGAATTGCCCTAAGAGCAGACGAAGCCTTTCTGCAGTCTGGGCCTGCCCACTTTTCCAGCCTCATCCCTTTTGTGTCCTGTGGACATTGTCTCTTTCTCACCTCTGACAAGGTTTTAAAATGTTGCCTCACTTTTTAACATATTCTTTAAGATTTTATACTCTGCCCTTTACCAAATTATTTATAATTAAATATTTATGAACCTGCCTTTCCCAGTAGACCAAACTCTTTTTAAGGCAAATACTGGCATTTATCATTGTTTCCTGGGGACTTAGTACAGTGGTCAATGGAAATATGAATCAGTAGGTAAAAGAAGGTATGTGACTTTAGCGCTAACATGATGAGAAAATTGATAAAGGAATAAAAACCAGATAAGAGAGAAAAGGTGACTTCAATTGTAAGTAATTACAATTAGACTTTGTGTGTGTGTGTGTGTGTGTGTGTGTGTGTGTGTGTGTGTTTCTCAATTCTACTCTCCATGTAACTGTTAAAATATATCCTTATAATTTTAAAATAATTCTATATAGATGCATAAAAACATACACAAACATCAAAGGTTTTTTCCTTTCTAAAAATTTCAAAGTTGGGGTCATACAGCATTCCACTTTGTTATATAACTTAATCTTTTGTCATTTAAAAACCACTTTCTGAGGGCTAGGGATGTAGCATGTTCTAGTTCCTGTATCTGATTCCTAGCATCACAACACACATATACATAAAAAACAAAACAAAACAGAAAAACACTCCCTGTGAAATACTACACTCACTTCTTCGCTTAGTCATGAGTAGTACTTTGAAAAACACCATATTAGACTCATGGAAGATCATGAACAAGCTTACGTGGAACAATTGCATGAAAACTTAAACCAGTGTTATGAAAGCAGCCTTAGATTTGGCTTAGTCCAATTGACTCCCCATTTCCCTCTTCTCTGGTTGCATAACAAGCAGTTTCCCCCTTCAAATTATGCCCACACATTGTTTCTGAAGTGGGCAAGAGCATGGAAAATAGAATTTGTCTAAGTTTCCACCACTTCCCAGTAGTGTAATTCTGCGGAGCAAACTTAACACATGAGCCTTTGGGGGACACTTAAGATCCAAACTATAGCTCTAAGCCTGGGGCTCTGAATGTGATTAGGTGTGTCTGTGTAGCCTAACCTCCTATTAGGCTACACAGGAGTAGCACCACATAAGTTCTCTTCCTGACTACAAGTCTGTAGTAGGATTCTAATTATAGACTACATGTTTCCTTATGTTCTGAACACCAAGGTACCAAAGCCTTGCTCTTAGGTCTTGCTCTTGGTAGCATTGTACCAAGCCCTGGTTTAATCCCCAGGACCACAAGAGGGGTAGGGGTGGGGGCAGAGGTTTTTATCATCATTTTGAAATAATTACTGTTAAAAGAGAAAATTACAACAAATTTAGTCAATAGATCTAATTAGCTTTTATTCACAATTCATGAATCAAGCAAGGCAGCTTCCATTCCACAAAAAAGAGAGCTCTCTCTAGGGGATAGCAGAACAGTAATTTTTTAAGGTGGGAGCAAGGAAACAACAATAGGAAAAAACAGATTGATTAACATCAAGTTGCCTTTTTGTAAGTGTGGAAGCAGAGGAGACTTTTATTACCCTGACTCAGGAAGACTGGAATCTCCTGTTTTTAGGAAAAGCTGGTCTGTTTGGGGTCTTCTGCTTTTATTTTAACGATGTAGCATTTATCTGAGTAACCCCATATTGGTTTGAAATGATTTCTTGGGGCTTAGGGCAATATCTTCATCCAGTTAACAGGCTCCCATAATTTTTGTTTAATGGTACTTTTTTTAAAAAGATGACTTTTATTATTTATATGAATGACCTACTAAAAATTTTAACATTCTAGAAAAATAAAAGAAAGCAACACTTCAGGGGCTGGGGATGTGGCTCAAGCAGTAGTGCGCTCGCCTGGCATGCGTGCGGCCTGGGTTTGATCCTCAGCACCACATACAAACAAAGATGTTGTGTCCGCCGAAAACTAAAAGAATAAACATTAAAATTCTCTCTCTCTCTCTCTCTAAAAAAAAAAAAAAAAAATTGAAAAACTTACCTTTTTTTCAACCCCTTTTCTTAAAAAAAAAAAAAAAAAAGAAAGCAACACTTCACCTAAAATCCCACCTCTGAAATAAACTGATAAAAAATAACATTTCAGAACTTCTATCTATATGTAGAGCAAGACAGAAAATATTTTCTAAATGGCATCTTACCATATTTGTCATCTCAAGTGGAAAGAAAAGGAATTATATTTGAACAGAGAAAAACTAAGGAATTGCTGAATTTGTGATTTCTTCACCAGAAGAGATTCCTCTAAGGCTAAGAAAAATATATCACTGAGAAATTTGGAATTCTGTTTATTTTATTTAACTTGTTATATGTAACATAAGTTAATTTCCTGAAATAAAACACGAGGAGTCAGGTGCAGTGGCATATACTTTTAATCTCAGCTCTTTCAGAGACTGAGCAAGACCTTGTTTCAAAATAAATTTTTTGAGAAAGGGCTGGTGAGATAGCTCAGTAGTAGAGCACTTGCTAGCATGAGTGAAACCCTAGGTTTCCTCAGTACCAAAAAAAAAAAAAAAAAAAAAGGATCAATACTCAAGGCTTAAACATTCCTCTGCCTTTATCAGTTAAAGTTTTTAGCAACTTTCTCAAAGTTTATAATATTTTCATCTCATCCTAGAAACGTAATTGGCCCTGTTGTTTCCCTTGGTTCTACCATGTTTGAACACCACCAGTCTTTTCAATCCAGCTTCTCCATTCTTAGAGTGGTGCACTGACCAGGGATTCCAAGGGGCAAGGTCAATACTTGAACCTGCAGGGGAGAAAGAGATCTGCTCTACCCCCTGTCCCCCACACCTCCGAAGGACTCACAGGACAAATGTGTAGTAAGTGAACTATGTAGTAAGTTCTCAAGGTATCAAGAGGAGCTATGAGGAGGGCCAATGTAAAAGCTAGCAGAAGATAAGAGTTACTCTGAGTGAATTTATTCAGTATATCCCCAATTACCAGCATCTGGAAATTGAGACTATTTTTCCACCTTGGTACAGGAAGAATATCCCTCCCAAAAGAATCTTTACAGCTTGTTGTATGTAGGAAAAGACAGGTCATGTGGCCCCTTCTGCAGCTACAACTCCAAGTCATTTCAGCTGGAAATTAGCAATATAGCATTTGGTGTATTTTGAGAAGACACATTCTTAACTCCTTCAAACCCATCAAGAGTTTCCCCTTCTGGGAGGTACCTCCACCCTCCACCACCTATTGCCATGAAGGACAGCTGTGAATTCAGAAGGGCTTTGGCATACTGCTCATTTGCCCTAGACTTCTCTGTCTCTGGCCTCCTCTCTATTCTCTTCCCAGAGCCAAACTTAACTGTGCTGAAGCTGGTACCAGAATGTGGATTTCTTTAGACCAACTTCTGCTCTTTGTCATTTCTTTCCTGAAAAGTGGGATTTTAAAATATTCTATTGCCCAACTAAATATCATTTACAAACTCTTCCACTCTCCTGTGAGTGTGTGTGTGTGTGTGTGTGTGTGTGTGTGTGTAGTTTTGGGAACAAACTCAGGACCTTGTTTATGCTAAGCACATGTTCCACTACTTAGCTGCACTTCCACCCCCTGCTATTTTTTTGTTTTTGACACAGGGTCTCACTGTTGCCCAGGCTGGCCTTATGTTTGCAATCCTCTTTCCTCCCCTTCTTGAATAACTGGAATTATAGGCATGTGCCACTGTACTCACCTTTTCTACTCTCAAAAATACTTTCAGCTATGACAATTATGTGCTAAAACCTGTACTGCATAGATTCTAAGTTATTCTATACAACACACCAAAAACATGAGAAATAATATCTTTGCAAGAAGAAAATGCAAAATACAACAAGAAATAAAACATCATAATCCATTTCCTAGATCAAACATAGTATCTCAGTGGCTATCTTTCCAGATCTTCTCTGAACATATAAAACAAAATAAAGTCATATAAAACCTTTTGTAATTTGCTTTTTAAAAAAAAAAAAATCATAGTCTCCCTTTTTCCATTTCCTGAAGTTTTCATCTTAATACCAAAACCATACTCCAGTTTTCCAAATTCTCCCCAAAATGTCCTTCACAGGTGGTCATGTCCAGAATCGTATCCAATTAAGAGCCACACATTTGGTTGTCTGAGTGAACTGTGCCAGTAACATAGACCAAATGATGTGTGTCTTTCCACAATATCAGAACTTATTGGAATAACAAATAACTTATGGAAATAACAATTCACTAAAACTCATATCACTTGATAATCGTAAGCTGGGGAATCACAGGTTCTTTTATTCCAATCTTATTTACTAATATCTATAATACTCAACACATCAAACTTTACATAATTCTTTACATATGTACACACACATACACCAGAAAGGCTACGGGGAGGATTAATGTGACCACAGGGTTCTGGAGGCTGAACTGAGAGCAGATAGAATGCAAAGAGTTGCCATAGGGGGTCACTAAGGGTTTTAACAAGCCAGTTCCACAGAGTCCTCAAAGCAGAGCATCTGGCAGTTTCAGAATGTCAGTTTGGAGTGTCAACCTGAGGTGTCAGCTAGGAATGGGCCATTTGTCATCTTTATGGGCAAGAGGAGAAACCTGGCTGAGCTGAATCCCAGAGACAGAATTAGATTCATGGGCAGGGCTCCTAATGAGTGACCAAGTAAGTGGGATCAGATGTCACTGTGTCATCTTGGGGTGCTTCTCCTTTAATGGTTCTCAGGTGAGGTTTTTGCTTCATTTAGTGCTCTGATGGTTTTTTAAAACTTATTTTATGTTTTGGGGTACTAGGGATTGAACGCAGGGGCAACTCGGCCACTGAGCCACATCCCCAGTTCTATTTTGTATTTTATTTAGAGAGACAGTCTCATTGAGTCTTAGTGCCTTGCTTTTGCTGAAGCTGGCTTTGAACTCATGATCCTCCTGTCTCAGCTTCCCGATTACAGGCGTGCATGACCATGCCTGGCTCTGGTGTTTTTGATAAGCTCATGGGCCTGGCTTTTCTGATATGGGGTTGATATTCATACACCCATTAGCTTCTGATTTCATTTGATAAGTTCACACGTGGTCACTTTTATTAGCACTGTTAATTTATCACTTTGTGACTTATGATTGGCTAGACAGATGGTGGTTGTTTACTTGTACAAAGTATAGTACAGTATATAGTACAGTATAAAGTATAGGTAGTAATTCTACCTCAGAACTTATACTTTATGCCAAACTACTGCTTTATAAAATAGAGTAATTTAGGTTAGGCACAGCCTGAGAACTACTATTCTGTTCATCATGGATTAACTCAGAGCAAGACAAAGCCTGCTGTTTGCATTTGTTCCTTAAGTTTTTTTAAGTTGGCAAAAAAGTTTGCAAACTTTTTCTTTAAAAGGCTCTATATTGTAGTAGATATTTTATACTTTATGGGCCATATAATTTCTGTTGTAACTATACATGGCCCTTACTCATAATGATTCAACTTAATGATTTTTTGACTTTACAGTGGGATGAAACCATATCCATACAACTATTGTTTTTTATTTCAGAATTCAACAAATTACATATCGACACTTTATTATAAAATAGGCTTTGTGTTAGGTGATTTTGCCCAATTATAGGATAATGTCATGCTCTGAGCATGTATAAGGTTGGTTGACAAAGCTGTGATGGTCAGTAGATTAGGTATATTAAATGCATTTTGACTTAATGAAATGATGTTTTCAACTTAGATGTGTTTATATTCAACTCTGCCCTTATATGATAATGTGACATAATAAATAAATTTAGAAAAAAAAATTTAGTTGTAGATGGACACAATACCTTTATTTTATTTATTTATTTTTATGTGCTGCTGAGGATTGAACCTAGTGCCTCACAAGTATCAGGCGAGCATTCTACTACTAAGCCACAACCCTAGCCCAATAAATAAAGTTTTGATCTCTTCCCCGCTTGTACCTCCTAAAACCTTGGAATCTCCTAAGTGATGTATTATTTTGTATGCTGATGAGATGACTGGTGATTGGGGGCACCTGGATAATTTAGGGTGGGGGCAGTTTGCTGTGGAAACTGACCCTATGATTAGAGTGTTGAAACTTTCTAAACTTTCAGTCCTATCCACCCTCACCTCTGGGAAGGGAAGAGGAGCTGATGGTGGAGTTGTTCACCGGTGGCCAGTGATTTGCTCAGTCATACCTATATAATGAAATCTCTGTAAAATCTCAAAAGGATAGGGTTTGGAAAACTTCAAGGTTACTGAATACCTGTGGAAGGAGCTAGGAGTATGTTGTACGCCACAGAGGACATGGAAATGTCACTCTCGTTCTCCCCAAACCTAGCTCTGTGCATCTCTTCCATCTGGCTGTTCTGAGTTGTTTTCTTTTATAATGAACAGGTAATTGAAAGTAGAGTATTTTCCTGAGTTCTGTAAACTGCTCTAGCAAATGATCAAGCCCTCTAAGGGGATTATAGGGACTTCTGATTTATAGCCAAGTCACACAGAAGTTATGGATACCTGGAAATTTATTACTTTCCATTGGTGTCTGAAGTTGGGGGTCGGCGGGTAAAGGGGGGGAAGTCTCATGGGACTGAGCCCCTAACCTGTGAGATCTGATACTTTTTCTAGGCAGAGAGTGTCAGAATAGAGTTAAATTGTAGACACACAGCTGGTGTTGGAGAATTGGTTGTTCTGGGGAAGACCACATCTGGTATCATAAAAGATGTATTAAGGGTGGCACATGCTTGTAATTCCAGCGGCTCCAGAGGCTAAGACAGGAGGGTCTCAAGTTCAAAGCCAGCCTCAGTAATTTAGCAAGACCCCTGAGCAACTTAATGAGACCCTGTCTCTAAATAAAATATAGAAAGGAATGGGGATGTGACTCAGTCGTTAAGCATCCCTGGGTTCAGTTGGGGGGGGGGGGGGGGGGGTGATGTATTCACAGTGTTGTGGATGTGAGAGTATACTAGGAGACAGCAATTGTGTTTGTCCTATCTCACTCCTGTCATTCAAAAGCAGCCACAGACAACATATAAACAAACAGATGTGGCTATGTTCCAATAAAACTATGGACCTGAAATGTGAATTTTTTTGTCATTTTCATATGTCACAAAATATTCTTTTGATTTTTTTCAGTTATTTAAAATGCAAAATCATTCTCAGCTGGGGGGCAAATAAAAATAGGAAGTGGGCTGCAGGCAGGAGTTTGCAAATCCTTTAATGGTTCTTTTTTGTGGTGCTGAAGGAACTTAGCCGGTTGTCCCACAGAATGTCCTATCTTTTAGATTGTTTAGCTTGTTCTTTAATTCCCTGTGTTTCCTGTAAACTTGAAGTTTTATCTACAGGTTAACGAAATCTGAAACAATTTTAAATGCCCTACTTGCTGAGTGATTTGACATGATTTACTGAGCCCAAATAGTGAGGCTTTAGTTTGGAGGTATAGTTTCCTCTTAATTACCATCAGGGAATTGTCCAGTCTATTTTCTTTTGAAAAATAAAACTTATTAATTCTTGACATCACTTTTAGCAAAGCCAGCTATTTTTGTTTGTTTTTAAAGACAAGTGTCTGTTACATAACTGGTGTAGCCTCTCCTGGCTAACCCCTTTTACTTGCTTCTTTCCACCAGCTGGAAAAGCCTGTAGCTCTCTCAAGTACTGTATTGTTTTACACCCTGAAGGCTTTGCTGTCTGTCATAGTCTCCTCTCTTCTACTAGGTAGAACTCATCCTTTTAGATTCAGTTCAGTGATTACTTCTTTCTGGAAACCTCTTCTGAGCCAGCCGCCAGACTAGGTTGGATGTTCCTCTTCTGTGCCCCATAGCACCAGTGTTATTTCTTTAAAAAAAAAATTTTTTTTTTTTTTTGTACTGGGAATTGAATCAAGGGCCTCACACAGGCTGTGCAAGTGCTCTCCCACAGAGCTATATCCTCAATTCTTTTTCTTTTGAGACTGGGTCTCATTAAATTGTTGAGGCTGGCCTTGAATTTGTAATCCTCTTGCTTCATCCTCCTAAGTAGCTGGGATTATAGGCATGTGCCACCATGGATGGCTTCAGTGTTCACTTCTAATATTTCAAAATTGCCTATTAATGGATCTGCCTTACCAATTCTGCAGTGAGTTTTTTAAGAACAGGGATACATTTTATTCATCTTTGTATCCCATGGATCTAGCAGAGTACTAACAAGTGGCTAGCAGCTGGATACTGTTTGAATGAATGAGTTTGTGAGTACAAATTCAATAATAGGAGTTTTATTTTTTAAAGATTCAAATAAAGACTTTTATTGATTAATGGATTACCTTTTTTGGCTCTCTGCAGATATTGGTGTCAACTTGACAGATCCTATGTTCCGAGGAATTTATAGGGGGGTTCAGAAGCATCAAGGTAAGTTTTTTTTTATTAAGATAAATAGTTCTTCTGTAAAGACAAATTTTCTGCCTTAAGCTGATCTTGAAAAGCATAACCAAGTTAAATTAAAATAAAAATATTAAAGAGGTTATTGTGATTGAATAATTATATCAGAATGGATTTTATTGTCATGTATAGCTAAAAAGAACCAATTAAAAAAAAGTAACATATAGAATTTGATGGTTAAAAAAAACCCCAAAGAAGTCATATGCAACTTGGGTAAAACTATCAATGAATCACACACAAGCTATATTGGTAAAACATGATCCTGAACACTTACTTATAATGTACCCATTAAAACTGTGTTAATCCAGCCCTTCTTATCTATAGAAGTTTAGTTTTGAGTATAGTACTTCAAGTAATCTCATGCACAAAAAACAAATAATAGTTGGTATTTAGTCTTTTTGTGGGAAAGAGTAGTTCTGGGGATTGAACTCAGAGGCACTTTACTACCTAGCCTTTTTTTTTCTTTTTGTTTTAAATTTTGAGATTGGGCCTCACTAAGTTCCTGAGGCTGACCTTAAATTCACAATCCTCCTGCCTCAGCCTCCTGAGTCTCTGGAATTCCAGGTGTGCAAGCCCAGCAGATAGTAAGCTATTAAGCAAATGAACATTAGGACACAGAATCCAAAAATCAGTTACTATAGAACATCAGTGTATCTAGTTTTTCAAAAACATTTTCAGTGAGTGACAAGTAGGAACGTGATTGAGAAGGAGATATAATGCTATCTGGTTTCCTATTTTGCTTTTCCCCCTTTCATCCACATTTCTACTTAAATACCTACTGTATTAGAAGACCAGGTAGTAGTACTTTAAAGATTGAGGGAGGGCCTAGCCAAAGGCAAAATGGCTTATATTTATCTTTTAAGTTCATTTGTAAGACTAGGCAAGGAATGATGGCAGCAACAGGTTTTTAAAGGCAGAATTTCTGCAATAAGCTAAGTCTTAAATATTGCCTTAGAAAAATAACTCTACTTATTATGTAAATGCAAACAGGAAATGTTGATTTTGTGGTTGTGGATGAAGTAGAATTACACATTTCAGTAAGCCAAGTCAGAAACTAATCTTCCTGTGCTACCAGGTAGTAGTAGGTGTTAGATGTCACTTGAAAGAAGAAAAGTTACTTAGCTTTCTTAAGCCTAATCTCAAAAATTACCTTTTCTACTTTACTTAGAATTTTGGATGACATCTTTTTGTGTTACTTACATAGTACTGTTATACTTAAAGCTTCGTACCAGGGTTTCATAAACTGACTTCCAGACCACTCACGTATAATCGAATCAAGCCTTTATTGAAGCACACCGGTGGCAACTGACCAGAACATAAAGCTGTTCCCCTGATCAGCCCCAAACAATTGCAAGGGCACTCCTTATAAGCCTGAAAACCGCAAAAGGGATGTTCAGGGGGTCTAGCCAATGCAAGCAAGCCAGGTTACAGAAGCAGGACAGTGCAGTCAAGCGGAGGGACTTGACTAATCACAGTTAGCCCAGTCACCCTAGTTACAGAAACAATACCCCATTAAGTAGTTCCATGTTCTTAAAGGTTTCTATAACAAAAGGAAAAGAACATCTTGCCCCAGTCATGACTTTTCTACTTGGCATAGTTGTTTTACAGGATGAAGTCATAAAACAAAACACATTTGCTCCTACTATCACAGTACAGTTGGACTATAGACTAACATATATTCTACTCTTCTTGCCTTTTTAGCACTTAATGAATTTCATGCTTTGTGATTATATGTGTATGTATGTTTATATGTGTGTTTATGAAATAAATTTTTTTGTGGTCAATATTAGCATTACTGCAGCTTATAATACCCGGCAAAACCAGTTGATGTACTTAGCAGAAGCTGCGTAAGTTGGTATTTTTGTCTAAAAGAAATTTTGTAGGTACTTCAGAAGTAATATCAACTGAATTCCAATCACATTTACTCTGATGAGTAATGTGAATAAAAAATGGATTTTATATATGATTATTTTATTTTGCTCTTTAATTATTTCGGCCTCTCAGAGCTTACTCTGCTTCCTCTCAGAGCTATTTAACAATGAATGATAGGAAAAGGCAAAAAAACAACTGTCCGGGAAAACAGAAAACAGATTATGTTTCCTTAATGGTAATGGTAATTATAGAAATATAGAATTAACTGAGATTTATAAAGAAATGTTATGTCATATTTTGGGAGGCACTGCAAGCAGGAAAACCCTAGTAAAAATAAACAATCTTAATAATTGTTTCCTTTTTTTTTTTTTTTTTTTTTGTGGTACTGGGAATCAAAACAAGGGCCTCACCCATGCTAGGTAGGCAAGTGCTCTACCACTGAGCCACACTCCTACCCCAAATAAATTACTTTTTAAAAAATACATTGCCAAGTTTCAAATTCAAGACAAGTGACTTAAGTTGTAGTTACCAAATTCATCTTTTGAGTCTCCTAATTTTTCTCTCTGAATAAAACTGCAATTCGATTAATAGTTTATTATTCATCTAGTTTGCTTTATTGGTTTCTTTTTCTTTTTTTGTTAAGCTTTTTGCTATTTCTAGTATTATGTGACAACTATTCTTCAAACAGTATTGATTTGATTTTGATGTAGTACATATGATTACTTCTATATATTTTTATTTCAAGAAGAGATGACCAAATTATAGATAAGTGAATTTTTATTTATTAGGTTTTCTTTATGAATGGTTTGTTTTGTACAGATGATTTACAGGATGTAATAGAGAGAGCTATCCAGACTGGTGTTAAAAAGGTAACATCTGTTTTTTTGTTATTCTTGGGTTTTTTTATGTTTAAAATGTAGTTAAAATTTCACAGAGTAAAAGGGAAGAAGCCAATACTACATACTTAGAATATATATTGTCTACATGCAATATTCTCAAGTTAGTAGAAATTAAATATAGTATTCTGTCACAGCATTTTAAGTTACATAAACCTCATGTATAGTTCTTCCATGTGATCAGTAATGCAATAAGTGGTAAAATCTCCTTGAAAAAAATTTAAATCTATATGTTTAGTAAGTTTTCTAGTATACTAGTATTTGTTAGAATTAAGTGATCATCAAAAAGACATGGGTGTGGTGGCACATGACCAGCTGGGTGTGGTGGCACACAACCACACCCATAGGTCCAGTGACTAGGGAGACTGTGGCCAGAGGATAAAATATTCAAGCCTTAGCAATTTCACGAGACCCTGTTTCAAAACAAAGAGGACTGGGGATAATACCAAGTACCTAAACTTTCATGTGTCAGCCATGAATAATTTATTCTTCACACTTCTGTCTGTGCATGATAAAGCACCTGGGCTCAATCTCCAGTATTGCTGCATAAATGAATAAAAAATTTTAAGGTGGATAGGAATGTAGCTCACCAGTAAAGCTTTGCCTAACATACATAAAGCCTTGGGTTCAAATTAGTTTTTAAAATAGTAAATTAGCCCACACATGCATACAATATAGTATCAATTCTAAGTTGAATACCCTCAATGCTAAAGAATGACATTATTGACTAAATGAGTTCTGCAATCTTCAACCCTAAAATTGTATTAGCAATTATTTACAAGAATATGAAAAAAATAGAAGTTACTTGAATTTCTCATTATATGTGTTCACGCCCTCTTGGTAAATCACTTTATATGATGCTTTTCTGCAAACTGAAATACCAAGTACCTAACTTTCATGTGTCAGCAATGAATAGTTTATTCTTTACACTTTGTGTGTATGTGTGTTGCAGGGGTGCAGTACTGGGGATTTAACACAAGGGTGCTTTATAACTGAGCTACAACTCCAGCCCTTTTTTTGTTTTATTTTGAGACAGGGTCTCACTAATGACCGAGGCTGACCTTCAACTTATGATCCTTCTGCCTCACCTTCCTGAGTTGCTGGGATTATAGGTGTGTACCATTGTGCCCAGCTTATTCTTCTCACTTCTAATTACTCACATACAAACCTATATAAAATACTGAACAGGAATAATAGAACTGAAGTGAATTTGTTCCAAGTTGGAATTTCATCAGTATCTTACAGAAATAATATAGTGGCTAAAAACACAGTTACAACATCACAAACCTGGGTTCTAGCCCCAGCTTCATTCATACTTTGTAATTTGGAATATTTTCTCTCTTTAGATTTCAGTTTTCTCATCCATAAAAAGGAATTGATAAGCCACACACAGTGGTGCACACTTGTAATCCCAGTAGCTGGGGAGGCTGAGGCAGGAGGATTGCAAGTTGAAAGCCAGCCTCAGCAAAAAGCGAGGTGCTAAGCAATTCAGTGAGACCCTGTTTCTAAATAAAATACAAAACAGGGCTGGGGATGTAGCTCAGTGTTTGAGTGTCCCTGAGTTCAATCCCCTGAAAAGGGGTGGGGGATGATGATAGTACTTAATTAATAGAATTGGGAAGGTTAAATAAAATATTCAATGGAGAAATGCTTGGTGTTATACCTGGTATAAAGTAAACAAACTTCTTTACTCATGCAGTGGATGCCACCATTGTCGGATAAGCATTGTCCTTGTACTCTGGGAGAGGGAGTTATGTCCTCTATTCTTGCCCTTATTTTATTTCCACTACATGGAAAAGTTACAGGTAATGTAAAAAGTAGACTTGATTAAAAACTTTTACGAAATTAAAATACTATATGGGGCAACTGGTCTGGTTTTAAAGAATTAGGTAATGTTAATAAACAAGAAAGTTTTCCCAATATTTCTAAAAATATTTTATATCCTATGGTCTATAGGCAGTTGGGGATTTAATTGTGACTACACATTCCCTGAATAGATAGATGTTCAATGTCATCATATTAGAGGTTTGAGTTGCTATATGAAAATACCTATTTATCATTTACCACTGTCTTTGTATTTGTATGTATTCTCTTTAGAATTCATTTGTACCTAAATGAATTCTGCGTTTTATTTATTTTTTAATTTTTAAAATTTTTGGTACTGGGGATTGAAATGAGAGGTGCTACATCCCAGTCTTTAAATTTTTGTCTTGAGGTGGAGCTTACAGTTACTGAGGGTCTTTTAAGTTACTGCAGCTGGCTTCAAACTTGTGATCCTGCTATCCCAGCCTCCCGAGTCTGTGGGAATACAGTCATGTGCCACCATAACTAGCTTGAATTCTGCACTTTAGCTTAGTGATACCCTTGAAGTATGCTTTACAAAATATCCAGGAGTGAGTTCAAATCTCTTCTTCAGAAGAGTGTGGACCTTAAACAGTACTGTTCAGTAGTCATCATCAACACATGGCTCTTCAGTGACATTTTCATTTTAACAGATTAGCAAAGATGGCATTAACCATCGGATGAGTTCTGATAGCTGTCTTTCTAGAAATATGTTTAACTTCCAAGAGCCATAAATTCCCTACAGAGATTTTGTTATGGTACATTACATTAATTCAACAATTCTCAAACTTCTCAGTCTCAGAACCATTTCACATTCTTAAATTTTACTAAGCCCCCCCAAAAGCTTTTGTTTATGTGGGTTGTTTACATTCTTTCAAATCTCTTAATGGCTGAGTGAATAGAAGTATTCTGAATTATCACATCTGTTTCTGTAGTCAGTCTGTTGCACATCATGCAGCCTCTGGAAAACCTCACTGTACACTGTCACATAATGAGAGTGAAAAAAGACAAATAGAATTTTAGTATTATTGTGAAAATAGTTCAACCTCACATACCTCCTAGGAGTTCCTGGACTACACTTGGAGAACTGTTTTGAATTAATCAACATTACTGAGTTACTGATATAGCTGATCACTGATTTATGTTAACAGGATTCTAAATTCACAGGTCTTTAGTTATTCAGTCTTTTATAATATATGATCTGTGACATCAAGGAACTCAAGGTCTAACAGAGACTAACATCTAAGTGCACTGTATTAGGGAGGAGTGACAAATTTTCCTGTGGACTGTGTGTAGAACAGTCAGGTGTCATTCTACACAGGGATGATCTTCCCAGCTGAATTTTAAAGGAATGTGGGTACAGGATGGTAAAAGGAAAAGGCATTTTGCTGCGAAAAAGTAGTAGGAAGGAGTGTTTGGGAAAACTGTTGATGCCCTGATAAAGTCAGCTTATTTCTCGTCTTTCTATTTCAGTTTATGATTACGGGTGGAGATCTGCAAGACAGTAAAGCTGCACTGAATCTGGCACAAACAAATGGTATCCTAATGTTCTTTTACCAGTAAAAATATACAAATTAAGTAATTTTGAAGAAGTCTTTCTGAGAAGTTCTTCAGGAATAGCACAATGATCATGACCTTAGAAATAGTCGGAAAAGGGGTTGATTTCAATGGGACATGATAAACATGACAAATTCAGAGTATTCATTGGTAAATCAGATGTTTGATAAACCCTCTCATAATAGTTAATAAAGATAGTTCTAATATTTAAAATTTCAGTTGCTTTTTTAAAAAATCTGGATCTCTGAAGGATTTATTTAATAAGTATTTATTTTGTGAACTAGACACTGTGTAAGACCTCAGGAGTGCAAATAACAATATAATATATATAATTATTCATATTATCACTTTATGTCCAAACATTTTATACTTTTAAAAAATCTTAAAAGTTTTGGAATTGATTTTTTAAGGGACTCCTAGTTACATAAAACACCTCATTTATCTGGGATTCATTTATTTACTTTGATTTTGCATGTCTAATTTGCTAGATACCCAGAAATTAGATAGTCTACATAATTTCTTAAAATACAAGTGTTTCCTTTATGCAAAAATGTTATTAAAAGCTTTTTTTAAAAAAACAATCTTTCGGGCTGGGGTTTTAGCTCAGTGGCAGAGCGCTTGCCTTGCATGTGTGAGGCACTGGATTCAGGCCTCAGAACCACATAAAAATAAATAAATAAAACCAAAGATATTGTGTCCATATATAAATAAAAAATATTTGAAAAAAACCCCAATCTTTCTAAAATGCACACTTTTTTTTTCAGGATACACTGACATTTATTTAGTAATTAAGGACATAAAAATAATCATCTTTCCAGGAATTCTGTGGGTACATAAGAATATTTTCTTTCATTCTTTTGTTCTCAAACAGATATGCTTTCAGAAGTTCTCCCCAGTTATTCCCTATTAACTCCTTCCAGTCCTTTCAAAGTACTTTGTGTCCTCACACATTTGGAAGTCTGATGCTTCCTTTTATCTGTAGACATCTGCATGAGAACCTGAAGGAGGCTCCACCCTCTCTGCAGGTTCAGATGAGGTACCTGTTAAAACCCTCAAACCCATCTTTGACTTCTCATTTGTGTTCCATACGATTAAAGCTATCAAAGCCAATAGTTAAGTTTTGTTGTTTTCTTTTTTTTTAATTTTTAATTTTTGGTATCATGGATTGAACTCAGGGTGCTTAACCACTGAGCCACATCCCCAGCTCTTTTGGGTTTTATTTTGAGACAGGGTCTCACTAAATTGCTTAGGCCCTCACTAAATTTTTGAGGTTGGCCTTGAACTTGCGATCTTCCTGTCTTAGCCTCCCCAGTTACTGGGATTACAGGTATACACCACCAGAACCAGGTGTTTTTTATTAGAATAACAAATTCTTAATTTTACCGTTTTGAGTCACCTCTGCAATTAACCTTTTTAAGGAGAGTATATTTTAACTGTTATATTAAATAAAGGAATTATGATAGTCATGTGAACACTGAATATAAAAGATAAATAAAATTAGATGACAGCATTTCTTTTTGTTTTAGATGATAACATTTCAAGAAATTATTTCACTTTTCATTATGTAATGCTCAATAAATACCAAGCTTTGGAAAGAGTTGAATTAATTATTTTATTAACACAGAAAAGCAATTTTCATATTCATGTCCTACTTTGTTAAGGTTTTCCGCAAATTCTTACATGATTAACATAATGCAATTCTGGTAGTTAAAACAGTATATGACTAAAAAAAAAGTTGAAACTTTTTGTTCTCTTATATTTACATATTAAATATGAATGTGAAATGATTTTGAAAATAATCCTAAGACATTACTTTGTGTTAGATATGTTTTTCAGCACAGTTGGATGTCATCCTACAAGATGTGGAGAATTTGAAAAGAATAATCCTGACATTTACTTAATGGAATTGCTAAATCTTGCTGAAAACAATAAGGGGAAGGTTGTAGCAGTAGGGGAATGTGGACTTGGTAAGTGGAAGCCAGCCACTTAGATGACTTTGAAAATAGCAGAGTTGTTCTGTAAAGTCCTAAGTAATTATTCTTTTTTATCTTTTAAAGACTTTGATCGACTACAGTTTTGTCCCAGAGATACCCAGCTCAAGTAAGGAAATTTAATGATATTAGTAATAATTGTAAAATCCTAGTAGTGATGTTTTTAAAATAACTTATGAATTGAGCACATAGTTAGATTAGGCCTCAGGATGTTTTTGTTTTTCCCTGTGTATATCAAAAGTTAAATAAAACAAATTCCATGCATATAATTCATAAGGGATATAATTGATTAACCAATTCTATTTGTTAGAAATAAGGGATGAATTTACAAGACTTTTTTGTTGTTTTTCATTTGTTTAACAGATGGATCATGCATGAACCATTCCAATGGAGAGAATGAAATTCAGTTGTGGGGGACATGATTTAAGGGCAAAGGATATTAAAAAGGGATTAAAAGATCAATCACCAAAGCAAGAAGAGCATATATTACTCTTGCTGGGCTTTGGATATTGTTAGCTGGGAACAGTGAGAACCCTTTCATAGGAGCCATGTTGAGAACTATAGCTCCTAAGAAAATTCCACAGCTCACAGGCCTCAAGGACTTCCTGTAATGCGCAACTTGCAGCTTTTAATTGGAGCTCCTATCGTATGTTGGGTCAGTTATATAGGTTGAAAATAAGAATTAGGTCAAGTCTTAATTTAAAACATGAGCACTTCAAAAACATCTTAATTATCAAGATACTAAAACATTAGAATGAACTTCTAAAGGAGGTTAACTTAATTATTCATTCATATAACAAATATTTATGGAGTTATGGAATACATGCCAGCAACTGCTGGGAACTCAAAGAATACAAAAATATGAATAAAAGTATACTAGCTGTTACTAACAACCTTTAAGAATAAACAACCTCTGTCCACCTTAATTTTTTTTTTTCTTTTTCCAGTGTTGGGGAATCAAACTCAAGGCCTCACACATGCTAGGCAAGTGCTCTACCACTGAGCTTTGCCCCCAGCTCCATACCTTAGTTTCTGATATATAAAGGAGAATTTGGCTCAGATTCTTTCTTAAGATAACATCCACTTTTTTTGTTGTTGTTGTTGTTGTTGTTGTTTGGTTTTAGTACCAGGGATTAAACCCAGGGGCATTTAACCACTGAGCCACATCCCTAGCCCTTTTTATTTATTTATCTTTATAAATAAATAAGTTGCTGAGGGTCTTGCTAAATTGCTGAAGCTGACTTTGAACTTTCAGCCCTCCTGCCTATCATAATATTTAATAATAAATACTTGTTGTCGTGTGATTTTAATTAAGCCAATAACTTTATGGCCTGAAGCAGTTTTTCATTTTATACATGCCAAAAATATGTTACTGAGTCCCCTGCCTGTTGCTTTGCTTTAAAGTGGAATCTTGATCTGTTCATTGTAGTTGAAAACCACTGCAGTAAGGAGCAGGTTTATTAGTGGAGTCAGTCATAACTTAAGATTCGAATCTCCCGAATTTCTGAAGTCTGACATCTATAGCCAAGTGGAGTAGGCTGAGTTAGAGTGAAGTCCTATGGCCACATACTTCTTTCAGGCCTCTTTTTTATATATAACCCTTTCAGAGTTGTGCAATTTGCGGTATACCATTTGCTGTGTTTCCAGGGACACATACAAGGCCACCAGCAGTGTTACTAGAGCTCTGAGCCTCTTCTGAATATCATGTAGTCAACTCACTTCACCTTAAAAGTTAACAGTTTGATAGTTTCTTAGGTTATTTCTCCACATTAGTTTTGGGCCAGGTTGAGATTTATGAATCACAGACTGTATCACAACAAGCAAGGGCAGTTGCATAGTTCCCCCAAGATTTCTTGCTAGTATATATTTTACTTATAGATGAGTTAAAGCTATTTCTAAAATGCAACTTAAATACTTGAAACTCAACTTGAGGGTTAAATGAAAACACTGATAATATCAATTCTATTTTAGTGTTCTGAAGAGACTTAAATCATCAGAGCAAGATTAGAACTAAAACAATGTGTATAGCACGATATAGTTTATGATTTAACTCCTGTGCCAGTTGTTCAGGTGTTAATCTAGTGTAGAAAGTTAGACCTTTGATAATTCAGTAAATGATTACTGAGAGCCTCCCCAGTATGATAGAAATAAGACTTGGTCCTCATGTTTTCATAGACAAGAGAGGACATAAGTAATTATAAATGGCTAGCTAGTGCTATCAGAAATCGATGTACACAGCAGAGAGGACTAACTTTTCTAGGAGAGTCCAGAAAGTCTTCAGTAAAGTAGATAGCATGTAGTCTAGGCCTTTTTTGGAGAGAATAAACTAAGGACAAACTAAAATAGGTGGAAATTTGGTAAGATTGGCAGTTTAACTTGAGATTTTTGAAAAAAAAAATAATTATAAAACACTAAATGACTTAGTGGATGAAAGATACAGAAGTAATAATCATGTTTGGATTGTTAAGGAAACAAAACCCCATGCCCCGCCCTGTCTGCAGCCTGTGCTCACACAGCACTCTGCTTGTTCCAGCACTTAGCACAGTGCATTGGTAATGTTTGTTCTGTGCTAGACAGACTTGTGTCCTGAGTGGCTTCAGTGGCACTTTAAATCTTGCTCCTGTTGTAGTTCCCTTGCACTTAGCACAGTGCTCTTGGCATAGCAGGTGCTTGGTAACTGGTAGGTGAAAGTTTAAGGAGGAAGGCTCTTTCTGATTCCTATAGGGGAACATGGGACAAAGTCTTGTAATTCAGCTTTTGCCAATGAGTTTATTCTTAGAAGAATTTAGGTTTTGCTTTGTGTTTTTATACCATCTGAAACAACATCTGATTTGTTTTTGCTTTCTTTTTGTTTTTAAATAAAAATGTCAGGAAAAAAAGAAGAGAAAAATAGAAAGTAAATTAACGTATTGAAATAGAAGACAAGACAAATTAAGGTACAATAGTTAAAGCATCTGAAAAATAACAGCATCAATAACATAGTGCTAAAAGTATGATTATTTGAATCAGCAAGTCTTGGGTATGTTTTAAAGTTGCTGTTGGTGGTTATATATCCCTTTGTACATCTTAATTTTCCTCATCCTCAAAATGAGAATAATGCTGCTTATCTTTTTAAACATATGACATGTAAAAGCTAATAGTGGCATGCCTGGCACAGAGTAAGGACTTAATAAATTGTGGCTTTTGTTATATTATTAGAAATATTGCCATTCTAAATGAAAACATTAGTTATACTTTTTGCTTAGGGTATCTTTGAGTCATCCCCTATACTTAACCGTTTCTGTGACCTGTGCTACACTCTTTCCTTGTTCCTTGTTAGAGCTCGTTTCTCTTGAGTAGGAGCAATTTGCTCTGGACAGTTTTCTTGAAGCTTTAAAATGTTAACACTGTGAAGATCTTTAAAAAAAAAAATAATAATGAGATGAGATGGACATGACTGTAACCCCAGTGACTCCAGAGACAAAAGTCAGGCTGATGGCAAGTTAAAGTCCAGCCTCAATAATTCATTGAGACCCTGGCTCAAAATAGAAAGGGCTTAGTGGTAGAGAGCCCCTGGATTCAATCCCTAGTACCCACCGTCCCAAAACCAGATATCAGACAAGAATTCAAAATGATCCTTTGGGTATTTAGGGGACCGTAGAGATGAGAGATTGAGGCCATTGGCCAGCTTAGAGAGGGATTTCCAGCTTGTGTTAAGGTGTACCCGTGTCACTTGCTGGGCTTTTCAATGGCTTCAGTTCTAGTAAATAACAGCCTCCACTGCTAAACTGACCTTTCAAGCCCTTGTCTTTAGATAATATTGACCCTGAACTGTAAGAAACAGTGATCCAATCTGAAATCGAATCACAGCTTCACTCAAAGGACCAAACTTAAATAAAGAATGGTTTTCATTTATGAACTGAAATCATAAGTAAATCAGGCAGAGATGCCAATTCCTGCCCCATAACTTATATCATTGTTTCAAGTTAGCGTGGTAATTTTCTTCCTTTAAAGACAATTATCATTTGATATTGCATACAAATTATCCTTGATTTTATCATTAGTATTTATTTTTTTACCACATGCCCTCTAATGATACTAGATAGCTTAAACTCAGGGACCTTTCTTTTCTCCAACTACGTAAAATTGCAGTCATGAGCTTTTTTGTTTTCATAAATCATCCTTTTGCCTACCTCATGATAGAAAGCTAATTTCTAAACCAACCATTAGATTCTGTAAATTTGTGCCTTAGTCATTTGACTTAGTTCATGGATCTGTAGGGATGGGTAGCCTAGAGTGGTTAGCACAAAGTAGTCTGGTGGTCAGCCGGCCTCACTGGTAGGGGGCCTGCAGCCTCCTGTTCTTCTCTACCACTAATGCCTGCTCTGGGTCTGGATCTCATGGATTATGGGATGTTTGTTTCATTTGCTGGGATTTGGTTGAGACACTAGTTTAAAAGTAGTTCTTCAGGGGAACATCTGCCATCACGCTAATTATAAACCATACATTTCTTCTAACAATCATTAGTAAAATGCTACCTGCTTACTAAGCAGTTATGATGGAAAACCTAACAAACAGTTCTGAAAATAAATTTTTAATCCCAGAAACTGTAGTTTCCCTTTCCAGAAAATGTGTTATAAAAAGCCCTCTGCTAAGCCTGATATGTTTTAATGTCTGAATTCACTATTTTAGAGCTATCATTTCTAGAGAATAAAATTCCTTAATTAAAAAAATCATTTGACAATAGTCCTTCTTTTGCTAAAATAAAATTTTTAATAGGAAAATATTTTGTGTTATGCAGATACTTTGAAAAACAATTTGAACTGTCAGAAAAATCAAAATTACCAATGTTTCTTCATTGTCGAAACTCACATACTGAGTTTTTAGGTGAGTTAAAAATAAACTCATTTAGAATTTAAGAATTGTTCAAAAATCAAGCTAATTCCTATAAGTTCTTTCTATTTTTAATTCACAGACATAATGAAAAGAAATAGAGATCGGTGTGTAGGTGGGGTGGTAAGTATAGAATGGTTGTCTTTAATTTATGATACACAAAAACATCTTGGTTAATAAGTGTGGCTTGTAAAGTAATTCAGATGTCAGTTCTACACCCATTATTTGAAAGACATGTAAGTTTACTAGTGGATTTATGGGTCAGATGTAGGAAACACAGAAACCACACTGTTTCAATTATACTTTCTTTGTTCAATGTACAAGAATGAGTATAAAATTCTATTCACAGGAAAACCCCATGAATTTACTTCTACACATTCTGATGCTACGCATGATATTCTTTTTCTGTCTCTTCCATTAGCCATTCATGAATGTTCTTCAGTTTAAATTTTGAGAAACTTATATATTTGTATAATATCTTAAAATATTTCACTATTAGTTTCAGATTTGTTTTCTCTGATCTAGAGACTCATTTTCCTTTCTATAATTTATATTTCACTTGAAATACTGCTCCCATATGGACATTTCAGTCACTGATTTTCAGACATTTCCCATAAATAACATCTGACTATCACCTAGTTCAGAAATCAATGACAGTGATTTTTAGTCTTTTCAAATCATGGACTGTTTTTGAGAATTCACTTTAGAAAAATGTTCAGATATATAGATTTTCAAATACAATTTCAGGAGAGTCTCAGTGACTCTCTAGCAAAAAAAAAAAAAAAAAAAAAAAACTATTATTCCAGGTATAATAAAATCAGTTTACTGTGCCAACCAAGGGGAGAGGAAATAGCCCTGAGCACCCATTATGTATGGGTGCCTGTCTTTGAGTTTCATGTGCATTTTCTCAGTGTTTAGCCTTTGCCTCATTTTTTGTACCATTTGTTATATGTATGTATTCTATATCGCTTTGGAGTTAATGTTACTGTGTACATTTTCTCTGTAATTTATTGACTCTCTAATTTATCCTTTTGGAACTGTACCTGGGAATTGAGAGGTTTTAATGCCCTTTGCATAGCCAGTGGTATTTATTATGGCCTGCAGACTCCACCTCTCTTTTGCTTTATTTCTAAGTAAGCTTTTACTTGGATGATTCTATAATAGTTTTAAAAAATTAACACCACCAACAACAAATCCAATGTAAATGTTTGATTTTTAGTAAAAAAGAAATTACCAAAAATTATTTTGCCATTAATTGAGGTTGTGTTTTCTAGTCGACTAAAAATGTGAGGGAAAGAATAATCCCTTTATGGAGAGCTGTGTAACAAATTTCTTAATTATTGGGAGATGTTAGCCATAGTATGTTTCAGATTCTCTGGACTCAGCAGTAATGTGACATCATCTTGTTTGTAAAGGAAGTGCTGTTGTTATTTGTTATTATTGATTACATAAATATACCTGAAGAATGAAAAACTACATGTGAACCCCTATGTCTTTAAAGGTGAAAAATACTATCTCATTCCTTTTTGCCTGTTAAGTCAATATTATTGACTGTGTAACAATTTACATTTTTAAAGCTTACCTCTTTATAGAGCTTCTTAAAACTTGCCTCTTAAATTTTTTCTATTCTAGAAAAAATATACTCAAAACAGAAAAATTCAGTGTTTTCAATAGTGGTATGACATTTCCAAGCTTGGAAACATGACTGCCCTTCTATGGTGATACTGGTGCAGACACCAACACAGCACTCTAGAGAGAAATCCTAGCCAGCTAATCCCTTGCTGTATCACTGGAGATGACAATAGGTTATAATTGTGAAACCTTAGTGAAAATTAAAATTGTAGGGGCTACCACATCTGAAACCCTATGATCCCCAAACCCTTACATGCATCTATTATTTTTGCTTAGGAAGTCTTTTAGTGTTATGTAGAATTTTAAAGAATAATTATAATAAAATTATGCCTGTATGTCCCTAGGTGCATTCATTTGATGGTACCAAGGAAGCAGCAGCTGCTCTGATTGACTTGGATCTTTATATAGGGTTTAATGGTTGGTACGTTCTTAAGGTTTTTTGTTTGTTTTAACTTTTATGTTAAGCATGTTTCTTAAATTGTTTTACAATGAATTGCTGATATTTATTTTTTATTAAAGTATGTGTGTTTTTCATTGATCCTGGCCCAAGAATTTTAGTATTTATGTAAGAAATGGAACAGTACTATTTACCATTACAAGTGAAAGCCTGAAAGTCTTAGACTTCTACTGTGTTCTAATAATAGAAACAGTCTGCTGAAATCAGCAGCTAGCTTTTTCTAACAATCCGATTTATTCCCAAGTCATTTTATCTATTTAAAATGTATGGTTTATAGCATTGTATATACATATATATGTCATGTCTGATCATGGGAGAAAGGTTATTCTTTGACAATCATTTATATATCTCTGTAGGCTAAGAAACCAGGCTTAAATAAGTTAAGAAACAGGTATAAAGTTACTCCCAAATTTAAGAACCTGTGTCCTCTGGCTTCTGGCTCTGTGACCTTTCTGCTGTAACCCCACACTAAACCTCAAACACCAGTGCAGTCACTGGCATAGCTTGGGCCTGGGCTGGTTTTGTGTCAGACGTATAAGAGCTTCCGCCAGGATCTTTTCACAGGATGTCAGTGTAGCTTATTAAAATAAATCACAGTATAGTACAAGACTCCTTTCCCTCTTCAGTGTTTCTTTCCAATGTCACTTTTCTGATTAAATAATTTAAAATCTTTGGGAATAGAATAATGGAATTACTTATTTGCTATAGAGTTCAGTATATAAATGTTCTAGATGCCTCTTTCACATTTTGGGGTGTGTGGGGGGTCGGGTAACGGGGATTGAACTCAGGGGCACTCGGCCACTGAGCCACATCCCCAGCTCTATTTTGTATTTTATTCAGAGACAGGATCTCACTGAGTTGCTTAGCACCTTGCTTTAGCTGAGGCTAGCTTTGAACTCTGTCCTCCTGCTTCAGCCTCCTGAGCCACTGGGATTACAGGCATGTGCCACTGTGCCCAGTCTTATATTTAAATTCATGGTTTGGTTTAATTTATAAATTAATATTTAAAGGAATACATGCATAGTGATTAAAAAGTCAAGTAGGACTAAGGACTTATAAGCAACTATCACAAACCCCACCCAGCATGCCCCAGCCTCTAAGTCAGCTCTTCCAGAGCAACCACTTCGCTGTATGTCACAGTATTTCCAAATTATGTGCATCTACTCTTATTTTATGATTCATCCCCTTTGCCTATTCTCATTATAAGCACTGGAATTCTTATATCCCGCACTAACTCCACCTCCATTATTCCTTCCATTGTAGTTATTTCAGAATTTTTGAGTTTATGCATATTCAATGTTTTCATTATGTCTTTATATACATTTTGACTGCTGATCCATGTGGTATACCACTTTTATTTTTCTGAAGTAACTTTTCTTGGTTTTCTTCAAACTTTGAGGCCCTCTAATACTTGCCACAGTTCTACAAAATGTTTTTATCTGTTTTTTCTCCATGAGGAAATCTATCTAGATAATCTGATAGCTCCATTAGTTCCATACCCTGCTCTTTCTGTTTAGACTAGTGTCTTGTCTGATAGCACTCCTATTTTGAGGCCCCCAATATTACTTGTTTTGGTGGTCTAAATTCTCTGTTTCCTAAGAAAGTTTTCATGAGAAGTAAAGTTTTTGAGATTTTTGCATGTTTTAAAATGAACTTACTGTATTCTTAAAAGTTTTCCTGCATAGCAAATGAAACTACCAACTTTTGGTTCCTGGGCATGAAATTCTACATGAGAAATCATTTTCACTGAGAACTTACATTGTTTGATCAGTAGGTTCTAGTTGATAGTGAACAGTTAGTTGATATATTGATTCCCAGTGTCTTCTTGGGGACCTTGTTTTTCCTTTGGAAGATTTTAGTTATGCCTGGTATTATAGAATTTCGCAAAGATGTGTTTTGATGTTCTTATTTTGTTTTCTGGTCCCTCTCTATGCTGCTCTCTTACTGGCCCCTTCCAGCTGGAGGCTTCTATCAGTCCTGGAGAATTTTCTTCATATTTTTTTTAGTATCCCAGATTGATAAGTCTGATATTCTTTTTATTCTACAATTTCCATCTGTATTTCTGCTTTTTTTTTTTTTTTATAAAAAGTGCTTTATTTTCAACCTTTTTAAAATTAAATATTTCTTTTTGTTTTCAGTCTTTGAAAGCTTTTTAAAATACCAGTCTTAACAGATGCAGTGAGTTCTCATCTCTAAAGATATGAATTATAGTTGAAAATGTTTTGATTGCTTTTATTTCTTCCTTTATTCTCTCATCATTGGGGCTTTCTTCAATGGCAGTTCTTCGTTGTCTATTAAAAAAAAAAAAATAGCTGCTTGGAAGTGCTGTAGGAGACAGTCCATCAGTTGGGAGGCTCAGATGGCGAACTGACTTTTCCACTAGGGATTCCCAAATACCATTTTATAGAGAGCTTTTTCTGGTTGGTTCATTTCTCCAAAAAGGGATCCTCTGGTCTCTGCTGGAAAAGTGGGGTAGGGACTGACAACCGTACCTGACACTGTCCTGGAGCAAGATGGGATTAGAGGTCTCCCCACAGCAGTCAGTCTTCATTTCAGCCCACCTCACCCCTGCACTCTACTCATTTGTGCTTACTGTTCTCTGATGCGCTCTGATTTAGGTTTCCTCCTTCCTCAACCATAGATAAGTAATCTGGGAGCCCCATCATTTCTTTACCCAGACTTTTCAAACAACTCTTGTTTTTATCCCCTGCTTTATCCTAGCTTTCTATATCTCATTCTCAGGTTCTTAGAAATGTGGTTTGCTTCTTTTTAATGTGTGTCTCTGCAGACACATAACTTTTAAAAGCATTTAAACATGTCATTTATCATTTCTCCATGTGCTTTCTATGTTGTGGTTCAAGGTTAACAAATATTTACTAGTTTTGATTTCTTGTCCCCTCCTCCCCTACCTCCTCCTTTCTGTCCACTAAAAGAATAGAAAAAGAACAAATGTTTCCCGATTTCAGCAAAGATTACTGTTTTATTTTCCTTGTTCTTTTGGATGACTTTCAAGAGGTAGTAAAAAAGATCAGTGGTTTCCAGGGTTAAGAAGGGTGTGTGGGAGGGATGAATAGGCAGAGCACAGAGGGTTTTTAGACAGTGAAACTACTCCAGATGAAATTATGATGTATCTATGTTGTTTGTCCAAACCCACAGAATGTATATCACCAAGAGCGAACAATAATGTCAATTGTGGGCTTATGGGCCATGATGATGTTTTGATGTGGGCTCATTAATTCTAACAAATGTACCACTGTATTGTGGATTTTTAGAGTGTGGTTGGCTGTGTTTACACGGGGGCATGAGATGTTACTTAGAATGTCTACCTTCTGCTCAGTTTGGCTATGAACATACAACTGTTCTAAAAATGATTTAATATTTATAATTATTTTAAAATACAAGGACAGTATTATTTGTCATCAAATTATATCGTAAACCATCCCAAACCTCACTGGCAAATTGCAGCAAGCACTCAGATCCACAATCATTGGTCTTGGATCATTTGGAATTTGGCTGCCACAGGTTGCGTTTTCCTTCTGGGCACCCAGGCTGAAGAGGTAGCAACTCCTCAGTGCATGTTTACTTATCATGCCATCCAGATGACAAAAAGGTACATTGCCTATGGTCATCTCCTCACACTGGCCTAAAGCATGTCTTGAAGCCATGGACAGATTCAGAGTGGAGTTCGTCCTTTTTATAAGAAACCATGGCAAGAGTACAGATACCTAATTCTGTTAAAGGATGCTGAAGAATTAGGAGCAGTAATCCAGTGTCTCAGGGGCTGAAAATGAAAGTTAATAAAATGAAAGTTAACTGCCTTATGAACACCTCTCAGTTATGCAAATAAATTTTTTAAAAAGTTAAGCTTTTACTTAGACTGATACAGAAAAACTATTGAAAAATCAATTGATAAACCTGAAAAAATATCCTTTCTAAAGGCAGATCTAGTTGAAATGATTTAAATTTGGATTCTGTGAAGAATGAGTGTACATATACAAAAATTTCGAAAATACATTGCAAATAAATTTGTTACGGGGTTTTGGTTTTTAAAAATTTAAATGTTTATGATATGAAAAAGTCACTAAATGCTACCTTTAAAGTAAATATACACTATTTTTTTTTAAGCTCACTGAAAACTGAGGCTAATTTGGAAGTCTTGAAGTCAATACCTAGTGAAAAATTAATGATTGAAACTGGTAAGTTGATATTTTCATATTAAACCATACTTACTACCCTCCAGAAAATAGCTAGAGAAGGAAATGTGACTTCAGCATCACTGCTAAATATCCTAAAATAGCATGCTGAGCTTCAACAGTTATACTTCCCCAAAGATTTTATTTTAATTGGTGAAGAATTATGCAAGTGGTTTTTATTTTCAATTTTAGAAATTTGGCTAAGCCTGAAAACTTCAAAACCACAAATAAGTGGGGGGTATGTGTGTGTCAGGATCCATGATAACTAAAGAGGTTGTAATTATATGAATATTTAATTAAATAAGGAATCTAACTCAGGACTTCATCCAGAGCTTCAAGATAAATAAAAAAATTGGGACTGGGGTTGTAGCTCAATGGTTGAGCATTTGCCTTACATGTGTGAGGCACTGGGTTTGATCCTCAGCACCATATGAAAAAAATATATATTTTTTTTAGAGTAAAATAAAGATATTATGTTCATCTACAACTAAATATATAAGTAATTACCTAAGTAATTCTTTTAAAAACATTAACAAATGTCTTATTTATAATGTCTACTTCTGCCACATTTTTAAAGTAAACTGAGAAAACTTATATAAGATTTTAGAATCTATTTAAAATAAAAGAGATAAAAGCTAAAATTTATCTAAATGTTGTGGCTCAAGGCTTTTATACCTTGCCTTTAAAGTTCAGATTGAGCCACTCTGGAGAAATTACTTTTATTTCCTTGGGAAGTCATGAAATGAGAAGATTCCATTAAAAGTACAATGTTTGTAAAATATGTAACCTATTATAATGATCAAAGTAGTATTCAAGGCCAGTTTCACATTCAGAAGTGGCACTATAGAAATTTATCTCAAATGTTTTCCTGTTAGAATTGTATTTCTTTTAGGTTTAGATCTTTTGTTAAAGCATGTATAATTTTACAATATTTGTTAGGTTAAGGTCTTTTGTTAAATATAACATAAAAGTGAGTCTTAATGTTTAAGATGCAATTTGGGATTTTATCTCGTGCTTTTCTTAGAACTGTTTTCAGATGCATTAATTTCACTGCTTTGAAGCTAAGTAATGGCTTGTTACTTAAAAGGTTTTGTATTTGTTTAATAATGTTCATAAGAAAACAATTTTTAAAAAGTAAACCCTTTAACAGACACTTCTTTACCTAACTCTAGATGCACCTTGGTGTGGAGTCAAAAATACACATGCTGGATCAAAATATGTAAAAACTTCATTTCCTACAAAAAAGAAATGGGAAAATGGGCATTGTTTAAAAGATAGAAATGAACCCTGTCATATAATGTAAGTGTTTTGCTGTTATGGTCTTTAAAAATTATTGACAATAACCACCAAATGCCACTTACAAAATGAACTCAAGGAACAAAATTCAACGTTTCATAAAATCCAAGTCAAGTTCGGGTCAGTCTTTAACAAATGTACACCACAATGGTACATGTTAGAAATAATGAATCTGCAGTGACACATCTTCATGACCCAAAGTTAAAGTTCAGGTCAAAGGTCATTTTAATAGTGATTTGGAGGAATCTGAATTTGTACCTATTGCTGTTATCTCAGCTCCTATATTCACTTTCTCTCAATTCAATGACTTTTAATTTAGCAATGAAAAAATCTAATTGGTCACCTATCATTTTGTAGGATCTTAAAACTATTCATATCACCTTACCTTGTTGAAGTTTATTCTTATGTAACTTCATTGCTGCTGTTTGTAATCAGTTAGCCTTAGCAGACCTTTTTTAAATGATATTTGCATTTTAAATGATTTGACCACCTTAGGAAATCACACATTTCTTTAAGCCTTAGAACAAAATGATAAATGAAAGAATTTCCTTTTCCCAATCAAAAAAATTTAACAAGGGGGGCAGAACTTCATAGTATATTTCCTAAAATGTAGTAACTTGAGTCATTTTATTATAATTTTAGCACATGAAAATACTCACTCGTGTCAAAAGCTACAGTGAATCTTATAACAAACTAGGAAAGCTAGTTTTACCATGTTAATGGGCACATATCGAATTTAACTGGGACCAGAGACATAGCAACTGTCTGCCTTGAAAGGAACTAGGAGTGCTTTAAGGTGACATTTCAGTTGTTTACTTAGCATAACTGGGAATTAGGCCAGTCAAAGACAAACACCTTGAGCAAAGGCAGACACAGAAAAGACTTGGCTGATCTACAGCAAGGAGCCTAGTGTGGGAATAAGTAAGATGCATGGTTTAGGTAGAAGGCAGCAGAATGAGGCTGGATTGTCCAGGTCTTTATGACAACCTTAGTTTTGACTTTATCAGGACCCAAAGGATTTCAAACAGGAGAATGGCATGATTTTAAGGTATCATTAGTAATCAGTGTGGGGAAGGACAGGAAAGGAGATAGGTAGTAAGGATTGTACAGATCTTGCATAACTGAAAACCTATGCCTGGTGTGCTATATAAACAAAACCATTGAATTCTCAAGGATAATATACATTTTTAATTATTTTTTTAAGAATATCTTCAGGGCTGGGGCTGTAGCTCAGTGGCAGAGCACTTGCTTAGCATGTGTGAAGCAATGGGTTCAATCCTCAGCACCACATAAAAATAAACAAATAAAATAAAGGCATTCTGTCCATCTACAACTACAAAAAATTAAAAAAAAAAATAACTTCAGCTTTAGGCCATTGAAACCACATAAAAATAGACTAGATGGCAAGAGATGTTTGAAGATTGCCATACACTTTGTATTACCAATTCCTTTGGGTGTTCACAGTTAAGATACCCATAAAGGGAACAGAAAACTTATTACAAAGAGTATCTAAATGTTTAATTTACACTAGAACCTTCTAATTCATGTATCTTACCTATATGTAATAGTAAGGAAACACTGACAATTATCATTTTAGGTAAAGAAAGTTGATAGACCGACCCATGGGCTATTCTCTGTCTTACAGGACAGAAAGTATAGGAACATAAAGCCCTCACCCTCAACCACACTTTATTCTTCCTTTGCTGTCATTCTTAGTGGTTATGTAGCCATTTCTCGGTATCTTTAAAGGACTAGTTCTTCAAATAGTGGGTTAGTAAATCTGTATAAAGAAAATTTGGGGTGCCGTCCTCCCAATTATCATTATATACAAATAAATGTAAATAAAACTGAACCCAAAGTAGAAAAGTACTTACCCTCATTACATGCAATATACATATCCTCCTAATTTTTAAAATGTTCATCATGACTCACTGAAGTGTTATGACCTACAGTTTTAAAGGATGCTTCCTTTCTGCTGGGTTAACACCATGATTGTGGTACACATGGTATAGAAGGCCAATTTTAAACTTACTTGATGCTGTTCTTGGTTCTATTTCTACCCAAGTCAGCTTCAGCACTTTGTCTCTAATTGCTGCTACAAAGTTTTTTCTATTGATATTGTTAAAAACAACTGTTAAGCTTATTGTTAAAGGTAGTACAAGGTCTTCCTTTATGTGAAAAAAATATTATATACCTTTAGAACAGAATACATGCTTGGAAATTTAACCATCCTTTTTTGTTTTGTTTTAGTCAAATACTGGAGATAATGTCAGCAGTAAGAGATGAAGATCCACTTGAATTAGCCAATACACTCTATAACAACACCATTAAATTATTTTTTTCCTGATACTGGTATATCTTCCATTTTCCATCATGTATGTAACAATTTCATGATAAAACTGACTTTAAGTTTTAATAAAGAAAATTCTCTGGATGTCATCTAAATAGGTATCATCTTCAATTTTTATCTATAAAATCAGATCAAGATTTTTTAATATCATTTAATGCTCTAGTTTAAAATGATTAGATCACACCTATTTTCATTGTGTAATTTAATCAAGTATGAAAATACAATTTTATAATACTTCAAACAGAATGACTGATTTTACCTAAAAATTAAATAGTACAGTCTGGTCTATATCAAAGCTTAGTTGATATAAGCCTATTGCTCAACTTTCACAGCCTCTGTCTCATGACTTTTGAACCCAGCTCAACTACATTGCTACTCCAAGTTCAAAAAAGTTCTCAGTTGCATCTAGCTAGCTCATTTTTCTCCTAGTCCTAAAACATTCTATAGCCTTTCTCCTCTGATCCAAACTGTCTTTCCTTGACTTTAATGTGATTTCCCGATTTGCAATTTCATTCTCCCACCCATTTTAAAGAAAAACTAGGGTCCAGAGTTAGATACATTATATAATTTCATTGAGGAATTTTTGGCACAGTTGACGCACTGTATGATTATTTTATCTATTAAAAAGCTATTTGTTCAAATTTTGTCATAAAAACGTGAAAACATTTTATTCTATGTACAATAATGTACACAAATTTAAATAGGTCACCAAAGAGACCAGAAGTAATTAAAGAGGTATATTTACAGTAGCACATCACAGTAAACGGAAAACCATTCACAGATTCAACATTGATACTGTTTTTGTGCTTGGTTACACACTGAAGTGAAGCATATTACTCCATTTTGGATGAACTGAATTTTAAACAAATACCTCAATGATTAGTAAATGCTATTTTAATCAGTGTCATCATTAATAAATTCTTCAGCTGCTGCGCCTGTGTGCTGAATCTCTCCATTTCTTTCTCTTTGAACATCATCATCACAATCTGTACTGTCGTCTTCGTTCAATTCCCTGTCAGATTCAGCAGCATCTTCCCTTATAGCTTCCTCTGGATTTTCATTTTCATTGGGTGCAATAAAGCCATTGTTGTTAGAGATATTTGCATTATCCTTGCTATCATCTTCGATGTACACTTTTTGATGGCACATTGGACAAGTATCTTGAATGTACAGCCATTTTCGAAGGCAAAGTGCATGGAAATAATGATTACATGGCGTAATACGAGCAGATGTTGTAAACTCATGATAGCAAATTGCACATACATCATCTATTTCTTGCAAGCGGCTTCCTTTTATTTCAGGAAGTGAATTAATTTTCTTCACAGCAGTTCTACGATTCATAAATGTCTTCCAGCCATTCTTTGCTTGTAAGTAGATGTTAAAATAGGCATGTAGGCACATCATACAAGCCCGAATTTTACTTCCTGACTCAAACATCATAGTATAAGCCCCATTTCCAAACATTACTACTCCAAATATAAATTCAATAATATTGCCTGTTGAACGAACGTAGTAGACGTAATCATCAAGCTTTTCCCAGAGGACATTATAATAGCCATCAATCATGAACAGTGTATAGACAGTGAGAGAAACAATTACTTTTAAGCAGAGTTCCACACAAAAGGCTGTAACTGCAAACAACCATGTATTTAGTGCATAATGATGCCAAAGAATATAACTAAGTAAAACAGGAAGAATAAACAGGCAAGCAGAGACAAACAGAACAGGAAAATGTCTACGAAAAGATGATACATGGGAGGCACTGAGAGACATTAATACAGGGTCTGTCATTCCATGGATGAAATGCAGGACTGCAGTTAATAAAAGGCACATGTTTCTACTTAAGCGAATAAGTCTCTCTTCTGGTCTTAGCCCACTTAAACCAGTCTGAAGAGCCAAAATAAAAAATAAAACAGGTGCTACAAAGCCAAGCCGCCTGTCATCTTCTTCAGTTGATCCAATAAAGGCCAATATTCCAAGTCCCAAATAATGGGCTACTGAGGAAATTACAGCACTCATGCCCAGGACAGTTAGTGTAGAATCACATCCACTAATTATAAGATTGCAAATGAGGTCCCAGAAATCATCCCAAGAAATGAAAAAGGACTCAGTTTCATTTGCCATCCTTAAAATGTACATTAATACTGTGGCCTGAGCTGTAATCCTTGTTAGCCAGAAGACTCGAAGTATATCTGGGAAACGAATCCTCTTCCATGTGTCCTCCATCAATAACTGTAATCCATAAATTCGATACATGTGCCTCACTAAAAGATAAACATATCGTGTGGAATAATAAAACCACTTAAGTTTCACTGCTAAGACAAGCACTGTATTTAATATGAGAATCAATGAGGAGGTAAAAACTAAAGTCTCTCTGATATGTAAGGGTAGCTCTGTGATTAAGCCTATTACAGGAACCAAGAGATCCAAAATAATTAATTGTGAATAGATGGAATGAATCTGAAGTAGTGTGATGTATCCAATTCCAAATGTTAGCTGTAAAACAATGAGTGCCATCCATAATGAGGGCCCTTTTCGAGGAAGCAGCTCAATTCCAAAAGCTGATGTGTTGTAGGCACCATAGAAGTCAATGTGCAAAGAAGCATAGTAATTCACCAACACTGAAGTTGCAGCTAGTAGAAAGGCTGAGCTGTACATGTAAAACTTGAAAAGTGATCGCTGTGACAAAATAAGAACAATACTGGATACAAATATACCTAAAAAAGAAAAAGGAAAGGTCATTTGAATGAAATGTGTTTTATACTAATAATTATTACTTAATTATGAATATTTCCAAAGTTATGAACATTAAGCCTTAAGACAACTTAGGCTTAAGGGCCAATAAGGTTTTGTAAAGTCAAGGTTAAAAAGCAAACCTAACAATAATTTAAAAAATCTCACCCCTTTTTTTCTAATTTCCAAAGTAAATTCCATCATACTATATGTCAGGCATGAAATTCCTAAATTATCTTCAGGACACATTTGTAAGGATATGTATCTTTTAATAAGTTAAAAAAACCTCAGAAGAATATGTCCTTTGTAATTTCATAATCATTGAAAATTTAACTCCATCTAAAACTGTTAATTAAAAATATCCAAAATGGAAAACACTTGGTCCATTAAATCTTATAATTCTTTCATTTAAAAAAATCTTCAAGAAATCAAGTTTAAGTTTTAATTTCCTCCTTTTCTTCCAGTTGTGAATCCTTACCAGCTCTTATATTTTTCCTGATCCTTAAATTTGAGCATTATCCAAGGGTCCAAATTCACTTTTTTTTTTAACATATTTTCCTTCAGATTTCAAAAGTGCAAAGTTCCCTTTTCTCTATGCATTACTGAATTAATTTCTTCAAATAGCCAACCCTTTTTATTTTTCAAATTATACAATTAACTTTCAGAAAATCAAAACACGTTAAAAAATAATAATAGTAACATTCCTCTCCTCCACTCCACATATGACTATCATATAAACATCCTGATGACATACAGTGGCCCCATCTTTCTTTGTGCGCTGGCAAAAAATACTTTTTAAAATGAGATTATAGGGCTGAGATTGTGGCTCAGCGGTAGAGCGTTCGCCTAGCACGGGTGGGACCCGGGTTCAATCCTCAGCACCACATAAAAATAAATGCATTGTGTTGTATCCATCTACACCTAAAAAATAAATATTTAAAAAAATGAGATTATAATAAGACACATTTTACAAGGTTTTAATTTTGGGAATGACATCCAAAGATTCACCTAGTTCAACTCTCTTATGGTTTGGATTTTAAATGTCCCCCAAAAGGTCATGTGTCTAAGGCTTGGTCCCCAGTGTATCAGTGTTCAGAGATAGGACCTTTGGGTCCTATCAGATCCTATGAGAACAGGAGGGCTCTGACTCCATGAATGGATTAATCCATCTATGGACACTTCATTTAATGGGCTCCTGGGAGGTGTTGGAAACTTTTGGAAGTGGGACCTGGTTGGAGGAAGTAGGTCATTGGGGCATGCCCTTTCAAGGGGATATTTTGTCCCTGGTCACCCTTTCTCATCTCCGTCTTCTTCCACATGATGAGCAGCTCTGCATTATCACAAACTTGATTTTTCAAGCAGCCTGTATTTTGTGAATGCCTTTAAAAAACATAATCCAGGTGGCAGAACCATTTACTTCTCCAGTGAGTAGTAATGAACTTATTTTGTAACACAGATTGAGGGATCCATTGATGCACAAGATGGAATCCTTGCCAGCTATCAGGGACTTATTGTATAATAAGGTAGATGATACAGATAAGTACAAACTGCAATTTCAGGTGGTGCATGACTATTAAGTGATTCACTTAAATTCTGTACGTATGCTGAAGGAAAAGTCACTGTCAAAGAAAGTGGGTTCCTAGAATGGATAATCTGACTAGTCAGTTTAGGGAAGGTTGGTGGGACAGAGAGAGAATTGTAAACACGGATGTAATTATGGTAGAGTAAGGAATGTGTGTGGGAAACAAGTGTGACACATTTGTGTATATGTGCATGTGTGCGTATATTGAGAGCAATACCCCTCTAAAGCAAATAGCAAAAGTTGGATCCTTGAATGCCAAGACAAGGAGTGTAGGTTTTGATTGACTGTAATTTCAGAGCCACTGAAGAATGTATTTTGAGTAAAGAAATTAATAAAGGCAATTTGGCGACAACTTTGGATGGATTTGTATAAGATGAGTTTTTAGATACAGACTGATTGGTATCATTAAGAGAGGAAAAGACTGTTGAGAGCCACAGCCGAAGGGGCCCCAGTAAACTTCCAGCTGCCAGCTGATGATTGGCTCACAGCGGCCCCGGCAAACTGATTGGTATCATTAAGAGAGGAAAAGAGTGGCTGGGGATGTGGCTCAAGCGGTAGCGCGCTCGCCTAGCATAAGTGCGGCCCGGGTTCGATCCTCAACACCACATACAAACAAAGATGTTGTGTCTGCCGAAAACTAAAAAGTAAATATTAAAAAAAAAAGAGAGAGGAAAAGATGTTGGTAGAATTTAGGAACTAATTGGCAAAACTTGAGGATGTGGGGCCTGTAGAATAATAATAGTACCTTCAATTGAAATTGGAAATCACAAGGAAAAACTC